GACGCCTCGTGCTGCTAACTTCACACTCATCGCAAACCTCCGTCTACGGTCCCAATGACACAATATACTATTATGCCTCAAGTACCGAAAACCGCGTTCTAACCGAACAAAGTGAAATTAAAATTCGCAGTTTATCTGTCCTCGGGCCATAATATACTATTTTTTATGTGTCCAATACTGCGTTTTCGTCACTCGGAATAAAATAAACCATTCTAGTGATCGAAAATTGCAAGCTTTTCGAAGGAACGTCAAAAATGTAAAAAAAACCCGTCGAGGTAATTTACGTAAATTACGTCGGTAAAAAACGGTGTAATTTACCCACGTAATTCACACGCCCAACCCTGGTTCTGAGGGATTGAATTATCATGGGAGAATTGTTTTGTTTGTTTTGAGTACGAGTTTGGGACAGGATTGTTGGAAGGAGAGGATTTATAGGTATGATTTTAGTGATCGAGAGATGTTTAGTGTTAACGAGTTGGGGATTTACTGGTGAATATGAAGAAGATGGAATTGATTGGAGAATTGAAAGGGATGAAGGAAATTGGGGATCAGTGCGAGAGGTTTAGGATATTTGTTTCACTTATGGAGGAATATATTTCTTTATGCAATCGATGTTTGAAGAATTTGATGAGTTAGAGAATGACCAAAGCTGACGAAACAATTCAATTCAATTTCAATTCTAATCTAATTGTTTCAAAACCTAAACAAACAATTTGCGGAATGAAATTATTGTTAAAAAAGTGGTTTGTTCATCTTGATTACGAATAAGGCTCAGAACTGTTGGACAGAATATTTGTAAATATTGATTTAGCATGAAGCTAATGATGAAGCAGTTCATTTTTTAATTTAAGAATGAATGTTTCCTCCTAAATGTAAATACTTGTAAATACTTCTGCCTATTGTAAATACTTGAGATCTGCACATAGACTCCTCTAGAACCTTGAATAAACTCATAAATATTTATAGAAAGACTAATTCAGCACTTGCTCCATTTCATTTCATTCTCTTATGAATAAAGATATTTTTGTATACAATCGGTGTTTCAAGAAATGAAGGGACTACCTTGTGTGTAACAGGTCATTGTCCCGAGAAATGTTCCTCCGGTGTTAAAGTACGCCCAATCTTCAACTTTTCGACCTACACACGTCTCGAAATTTTTATTATCACCTAATTACTACAATTTTGTTATAATTACCTGACGACGAGTGATGGATAACAACAGTTGAATTCGCTTTTAACACATGAGGACTCGAACGGTTTTCACTCCGGTGATTTGTTGACGATTGAGGGGCTTCGGAGGGTCACGTGGAGTCTATACTCCATGTGCGATCAGCTGATAAAAATTCAAGAGGAGAATAAGGTGGGGAACGATCTTATCGATTAAGAAAAACAGGGAGATATTCCCAGGTTTTGTTTTTTGGAAATATCTTGAAATTGAAGGGAGATAGTGAAATTCTTGTAAGAACCTTTATTGTAGATCTCATTCTGCTCTGCAAAAAAGGTTCTCACATGAATTTCGCTATCTCCCTTAGATTCGGAGATATTTAGGAATATCTGGGAGATTAATTTCAGTTGAGGAAAATTTCCTGTTTTACCACTTCAATATTCGTCTGGTGTCAGTTGTACTCACGTATTTGGCCATATGTGGTGACATGCTTGTCTAATGAACTTCAATCAGCTGAGGAAAAATAATTGGAGATAATTTTCTGGAGCTGGAGGTGCTCCGATGCATGAGAGACTGGACAAAGGTTAATTCGTTGTTCACAAGAATTTTTGGGGTCTTGATGAGATGGTGTAGGGGATATTTGTGGATGTTTATGTGTAATGCTCACATTTTAATCGGTAATTTCAGAGTGACTGAACGGTAATCAGGTCGTCAGTGTGGGGCAAGGTGTGGAGTCGAGAGGATTATCGCAGGAACTATGCTGGGGCTCGTTTTCTGTGGGAGATTCACTCGTTTCGTGAGAAATGACAGGAGTGCCATTGGCTGGAGTGCTAGGAGCTATTTTGCCACGAATCCAGTGAATTTTAATAAGAACTCTTGCCTCAGCAAGTCTAGGCATGCGATATCAGCTGTTGGTGTTAGGGTAATTGTCAATGACATTGTTTTTTAATCGTTTTTGAACGGTGAAGTGTTAAAATTTAGTTTACGGTGGTTTTATTGAAGTTATCAGGAGTGGGATTGTTCGAAATTGTCGGAAATATCGTAAGAAAGGTCTGAATTTGTTGAATGGGATCTATTTTGATAGATGCAAGTGCAAATAACCTGAACAGATTTGCAGAATTCCTAGAATTGATAAGGAAAATCACAAAAGAAATCTGCATAAATTGACAAAGAATGATTAATCGTTAATAATTCCAATATTTCGACCATTTCTCGACGTTGGATTATTAGAATTTGTCAAAACATTCATTGAAAAATTTCTGAATTCATTTCTGATCAATTTACTAATAATTATCTGAGGATATTGCGGTCTAAATTGATAAAAAGAATTGGAATGTCAGCTCAGGATAGGTTGATTGAGATAATTAGATTGGGTAAAGTTCTTAGAATTCAATTGTTAGTGATCATTTCGTTATTTCAATAAATTTTCACTGATCTCTTATGGATTGTCTCCCAAAGTGAATGAGAAAAATAGATTTCAATAGATTTTAGTGCAAATAACCTGAATAAATTTGCAAAATTCGTAGAATTGATAAGGGAAATCACTAAAAAAATCTGCATAAATTAACAAAAAATGGTGAATCGTTAATAATTCCAATATTCCGACCATTTCATGATGTTGGATTATTAGAATTTGTCAAAACATTCATTAAAAAATCTCTTAATTCATTTCTGATCAATTTACTAATAATTATCTGAGGATATTGCGGTCAAAATTGATAAAAAGAATTGGAATGTCAGCTCAGGATAGGTTGATTGAGACAATTAGATTGGGTAGAGCTCTTAAAATTGAATTGTTAGTAATCATTTCGTTATTTCAATAAATTTTCACTGATCTCTTATGGATTCTCTCCCAAAGTGAATGAGAAAAATAGATTTCAATAGATTTTAGTGCAAATAACCTGAATAAATTTGCAAAATTCGTAGAATTGATAAGGGAAATCACTAAAAAAATCTGCATAAATTAACAAAAAATGGTGAATCGTTAATAATTCCAATATTCCGACCATTTCATAATGTTGGATTATTAGAATTTGTCAAAACATTCATTGAAAAATCTCTGAATTCATTTCTGGTCAATTTACTAATCATTATCAGAGGATATTGCGGTCAAAATTGATAAAAAGAATTGGAATGTCAGTTCAGGATAGGTTGATTGAGATAATTAGATTGGGTAGAGCTCTTAGAATTGAATTGTTAGTAATCATTTCGTTATTTCAATAAATTTTCACTGATCTCTTATGGATTGTCTCCCAAAGTGAATGAAAAAAATAGATTTCAATCGATTTTAGTGCAAATAACCTGAATAAATTTGCTAAATTCCTAGAACTGATAAAGGAAATCAGTAAAAACATTTGCATAAATTGGCAAAAAATGAATAATTGTTAATAATTCCAATACTTCGAACATTTCTCGATGTTGGATTGTTAGAATTTATTAAAACATTCATTAAAATTCTCTGAATTTGTTTCTGATCAATTTTCTAATGATTCTTGTATTTAAAATTGATGAAAAATTGGAATTTCAGTCCATAATAGCTTAATTGAGGTAATTAGAATGATTAGAACTCTTAGAATTAAATTGCTGGTGATCATTTCGTTATCTCAATGAATTTTCAATGATCTCTTGTGGATTCTCTTCTCAAAGTGGATAAAAAATCGATTTTCATAGATTTTCGAGCAAATAATGGGAACAAATTTGCAGAATTTCTAGAATTAATCAGGCAAATCACTAAAAAATTCTTCATGATTCGAATCAAAATGAATAATCATTAATAATTCCAATGTTTCGATTATTTCTTGATGATTTACTACTGACATTTATCGCAAAATTGGTAGAAAAAACTTTCATTACAATTCATGTAAGTTTCATTTGCTTAAAAACGGGGTAAAACTACTTGAATTCTCCGAGAAAAGCGCAAAGAATAGTTAACGCATCAAATAGAAGTGATAAACATAATTTTTTGTAGTCCTCAATTTAAAGTTCTTAATTATTTTTCAGTGATCTATTGTGGCAATTCTCCTGATAATTGATGATTCATTTCACGTTAGACCAACTGACCTGAATAAATCTCTAGAATTAATAGAATTTAATTATTTCTAGATAATTATAGCTCATATTTTTTTCATTTCAATTCATGAGATTTCGATTTACATAAAAAATGGTAAAAACTGCTAGAATCCTCCAAAAAAATCACGAAGAGAATGAAAATGATTAGGATAATTTGCAGTAATAATTTAATCTTTTCCATTTTCCTCAAAATTAACCAGAACTGTGCAAATTGATCAGAGAAATCACTAAAAATCCAACTAATTAACGCGGAAAGAATAGTCAATGATTTCAATCATTTAATTCTCACTGATTCTCAGTTAAACGTCTCTCAAAAATTCACAATCAATCCACATTTCACTCCACCCCAGCTAGATCTAGGTAATTACTATGGGTAGAACCGCAAGAATTCGTCGACGAAAGCACAAAAAATCATCAGAATCCAATTCCCAAAAATACGACTCGTCCGTTCTGAAAGATCTTGAGGACTGGATGAAGTCCCTGAACTGGTCCCCGACATGTCCATTAACTCCCCACATATTTAGTGACACTGGCAGAGGCCTAAAGTGTCTAGAACCCATATCAACAGGCCAAATCATCATAAAAATTCCCCGAAATTTACTCCTCACAACTTCCTCAATTTTCCAGTCTCAAATCGCAAAAATCTTCACTAAAACTCGAAGTTACGAGCCCCAGGCTGTTCTCTCAGTGCTTCTGTGCTTCGAGAAACATCTGGGGGATGATTCCAAGTGTAAATTTTATATAAACAATCTACCTGGTCGATACACAGTCCCAGATTACTGCAAAAATAATGAGAAATCGATTTTACCTTCGTTTATCCTCCAAGACCTCCAAAAACAATCCCAGAAGGTCACAAATAATTACAAGATGATTATGGAATCAATTGATGAGCTGACAAATAGTGGAAGTGATGCTTGCGAGCATTGTGGAAGGTCTCTGAGGGGAATTATAACATTTCAGGCCTTTAAATGGGGATTTTATACTGTAAATACTCGAGCTGTGTACATGAACTCCTCTAGAAACTTGAATAGTCTCATAAATATCTGTGGGGAGGATAATTTAGCACTGGCTCCATTCCTAGACCTCTTCAATCATTCCTACGAGGCCTCAGTTCACGTGGGATTGGAGACTGATGATCATCATCGAGAATTCTATCAAATTCGGACGTTGAAACCTTTCGATTCTGGCTCTCAGGTTTTTATTAATTATGGAGCTCATAGTAATGCGAAATTATATCTTGAGTATGGGTTTTTTATTGGGGATAATCCACTGGATGAGATTATTGTTGATTATGGGATGATTGAGGAGAGTTTCATTGTCTCGGAGAATGCTGGGGAGTTTATCAGAGCTAATGGGTTCGATAAAAGTGTTGGGTTTAGTTCTGAGGGATTGAATTATCATGGGAGAATTGTTTTGTTTGTTTTGAGTACGAGTTTGGGACAGGATTGTTGGAAGGAGAGGATTTATAGGTATGATTTTAGTGATCGAGAGACGTTTAGTGTTAATGAGTTGGGGATTAAACTGGTGAGTATGAAGAAGATGGAATTGATTGAGGAATTGAAAGGGATGAAGGAAATTGGGGGTCAGAGCGAGAGTTTTAGGATATTTGTTTCACTTATGGAGGAATATATTTCTTTATGCAATCGCTGTTTGAAAAATTTGATGAGTTAGAGAATGACCAAAGCTGACGAAACAATTCAATTCAATTCAATTTCAATTCTAATGTAATTGTTTTAAAACCTAAAAAAACACTTTTGAGGAGTGAATTTATTGTTAAAAAAATGTTTTGTTTATCTTTATTACGAATAAGGCTCGGAATTGTTGAACAGAATATTTGTAAATATAGATTTAGCTCTTGAGGATTTTAAAATAATTATTAGTCAGGAATTACGGAAGAGAGAAATGCATTTGTTTATGCAATAGATGTGTAAATAATTCAGTGAATGAAAATATTATGACGTGCATGAATTGATCAATTTGGAATTGAAAAAATGAACTTTTGTAATTTTTATAAAGGACAAGAACGAATAAATGGATTGATTTTGTTAAAAAGTGAACATTAATTGGAGTAATTTATTCAGTGTTGCAGTGGCAATGTGATTGACCGAGCCCAAACGAAAAAGAATGTTCCCCAAGCGAAGTCAGTTATCACCCCTGTTAAAAATCCCCTGATTGTGGATGGAGTCACTGGGGGTAAACCAGGGCAACAAAAGAGGAATTGCTTTCATCCTGGGGCTTCTACACTCAGCAGGGATGACCTGCATCTGAAGGACTATCCTGCAGTCACTAGTGCGGATATGATCAAGGCCATGGGGAGTTATATTTGGCCAAAGGTACCATCATTTTTTCGTGGATTTCCTTGTACATTCATTCACAAAACAGCTAGTCCTACTGATAAGTGTTAACAACATTTTTTCGAAACTTAAAAATTCTCTATTAAAATTTGTCGACATTTTTCAATAAAAAGATATTTTTTCTTATTAATGATAACAGTTTTTAACACAAAAATTCAAACTTTCGAATATTCTTATGGTAAAAAATTCAAATTTTAATATTTTGAATTACTAATGCTGTTTGTTTCCTCATTCTCTATTCTTGATTTATGTTATTTTCATGGATTTCATAGTGCATTTATTCCCAAAACAACTAGCTCTAGAAGAAAATGTCAATAGAATTTTTTTGAAGCTCAAAAACTTCGATATAAAAATTTCTCATGGTTTTCTCGACATTCTTTATTAACCAGATAGTGTTTTGATCAGTAAAAACAATTTGAAACGCTAAAATTCAAACTTTTAACTACTTCTAAGCCTAAAATTCAGAATATAAACATTTTCATTTTCAATACTGCTTGTTTCATTCATTTTTCATTGTCTATTGCCCTTCCATTTCTTCAATAATAATAATTATTATCATTTATCACAATTTTTTATTTTGCGTTTCATCAGAATCATTCTTCTGCATTCTCAGTAATTAATTCCATTATTTTTTTAGGAAGATCCTGACGTAAAAAATCGAGTAAAAGTGGCTGTGGGATTGCTCGTTGGAGCTAAACTCCTAAACGTTGCAGTTCCATTCCTCTTCAAACATGCAATTGACAAATTGAATGCCGCATCCATAGCTGCTGGAGGTGAAGCTATCCTCGGGATGGGCACAGCACCTGAGACAGTGACGACTGTAGTGACGTCTCTCCTCATCGGATGTGAGACGACAAAAATTGATTATTGGAAAAATGTTACTCACACCTCAAATTTCTCGTTTGTAACTTCCTCATTTGTTTGTTGAATTATATAGCTAATTTTTTCGTTTTGTTTTGCAGATGGAATTGCTCGTTTGGGAGCAGCTGGTTTCAACGAGCTCAGAAACGCAGTATTTGCCAAAGTAGCTCAAGGGTCTATTCGCAAAATTGCCAAGAATGTATTCTTACATTTGCACAATCTGGACTTGGCGTTCCATTTGTCGAGACAAACCGGAGCGTTATCCAAGGTGATTCCGATTTTTTTTTATTTCATAAATTTTTCTTTGCCGACAAATTCGAGGAGAAATATTTTCATGAGGCATTTATTCAGCTTTAAAAATGGATTCGACGTTAATTAAGAGTCTGAGCAATCACATGTATTGAAAAATTAAATAGAAAAATTTTGCGAGTTTGCTAGAAAATTCTATTGGATTTCTATTCAACTTGCTAGGAACTTAATCGAAATGTACTACAGAAAATTCTATCATAATTTTTGGGAATTCCTACAGGATGTACCACTCAATTGACAATTTTGGATTACGAAAGATAAAAAAAATCCAGATAACATTCGAAAGATAGTACACCCAGGCCTTAAATTATTTAATGCTTGCAATCATCGCAATATTGAATGTTCTCTCTCCGTAGATGATCGACCGAGGAAGTCGTGGAATTAACTTCGTCCTCTCAGCAATGGTCTTCAACATCATCCCGACAGTGTTCGAGCTAGCCCTAGTCAGTACGATACTAGGAATAAATTGTGGCCCTGAGTATGCGGAAGTGGCGTTTGGATGCGTTGGGGTCTACGCAGCGTTCACACTGGCCATCACCCAGTGGAGGACCAAGTTTCGTGTCTACATGAATAAAGCTGAGAATGAGGCTGGGAACAAGGCCGTTGACTCCCTCATTAATTACGAGACAGTTAAATACTTCAATAATGAGAAGTTTGAGGCCGAGAGGTACGACGAGTCTCTGAAGAAGTACCAGGAGGCCTCGTTGAAGACTAGCACCAGCTTGGCACTTCTTAATTTCGGGCAGAATGCCATTTTCAGTGCTGCTTTGAGCCTCATTATGGTGATGGCAGCCAAAAATATCGCCAATGGTAAATGAAGAATCTTTTTGCTTTTATTCATGCTCGAACAGAAATTTTTCAGCAAATATGAAATCATTCAGTAGTGAAGCGGTAAACCGGGTTAAGTCGATTTTGACTATTGGCCAGTTTTTGACAAATGTCTCGGAATCTAAAAGAGATAGAAAATTTTTTGTCATGACCTTTTTTGTAGAGTCAATTGAGGGTTACAAAAAAGGTCATGGGAAAATTCTGCCATCTTTCTTAGATTCCGAGATATTCATCAAAAACTGACTCAAAGTCAACATCGACTTAACCCGGTTTACCGCTTCGCTACTGCATTGTAACTGAGAAATTTTTATTCTGATCATTTCTGAAAAAATTCCCTAAAAAAACCTAACAAATTCGCTAGAAAATTCTGTTGAATTTTCTATCAGTGTTTGGTCGATTCTACCGAAAATTTTCGTAGCTTATCACTGATTTTTTTCACTAAGAATATTTTATGGAAAAAGTTTTGTAGAAAAAAATAAATAGAATTCTATTTTTCTATTGAATTTATTCTGTTGAGATTTTTTTGTATAGAAATTTTTTGGCTCAAATTTTCCATGTTCTTTTATTTGATCTTTTTGATGAAAAGAAACTAAAAATAGGGGATGAAAATCGAGGAAATATCCATATTTCATGGATTATTTTTGTTGATAGGGACGATGACTGTTGGAGATCTAGTGATGGTCAATGGATTACTCTTCCAATTGTCAGTTCCTCTGGGATTTTTGGGGTCTGTTTATCGAGAGGTGAGACAAGCTCTCATTGACATGCAGACCATGTTTGCACTTTTGGCTCGTGATCCCACAATCAAGGTATATTTAATTTAAATATTTTAACAAAATATAGTATTTCATTTTTGTCAACAATTTAGTATTGTTCGATAATTCACCCTTAATAGTGTTCGTACTTTTTACTAAGCTGGGCAGCTCTTCCTCTGTTGCACTTCCTCAAATTTTTATATTTTTAGTTTCTAATATAAGTTGTATTCTCGTTTATTTTACTGATTATACGGAGCCTGTCTTATCATAAAGAGTCTTCCCCTGTAAGACAAGCGTATAAATAAATGAATAATAATATTTAATTTCTCAAAACGATAAAAATTAAAAGGTTTAGACTGAAGTGAACAATTTTTTTATATCAATGAGTTTTGATGAGAATCATTTTTTTAAATTTATAATTTACCTGCTCGGAGATTCCAAGAAAGAAAATGAAAATAGGAGACAAGAAATAAAACTTACTAAATGTTTTTAGTACAATAATTTTCACGGAGATTTGGTCCTCTCGATTTTTCAGACTAAACCTAATGCAACTCCATTCTCTGTGACTCCAACCACCTCCGAAATTGTGTTTGACCGAGTCAACTTTCAATACGTCGAGGGGAAGACGATCCTGAACGACATGAGTTTAACCATTCCGAGTGGGAAGAAAGTAGCCATCGTTGGTGGCTCTGGTTCTGGGTAAGATAATTACCTTCACATTAATTTGATCACTCATTATCTTCTTCATGTTTATTTTCCTTTTTTGCAGTAAAACTACAATCGTGAGGTTGCTGTATAGATTCTTCGAGCCTCAGGATGGCAGAATCACTATAAATGGGCACAATATTGCAGATATTGATCTCGATGATCTTAGGAGGACAATTGCTATTGTTCCACAAGTAAAATATTAAATTCATTACCAAATAAGTCAATGAATGAATGAATACATCAAGAATGAATACGGAAATGAATGAATAAATGAATAAATGAATGAATGAATTAATTAATTAATAAATGAATGAATGAATAAATGAATAAATAAATGAATGAATGAATTAAATAATTTTAATGAATAAAAGTGCGAAATAAATAATAAATAATATTGTTAATTTAATTGTTCTTTCAAGGATTCTGTACTCTTCCACGAGTCAATTTTCTACAACCTCCACTACGGAAACTTGAGCCGAAGCAAGGAAGACGTGTACGAGGCAGCGAAAATGGCAAATCTCCACGAGTCCATTCTCAAATGGCCCAAGGGCTACGACACACCTGTCGGAGAGAGGGGATTGAAATTGAGTGGAGGTGAAAAGCAACGTGTGGCGATTGCACGTGCGATTCTGAAGAATAGCCCCATTTTGATATTCGATGAGGCCACGTCGTCGTTGGACTCAATTACCGAAAGTGTGAGTCGATAATATATTTCCAATAACAAATATTGGTTTTTCTCCTGATGAAGTTCTATAGAAAAATCACATTCCATTGATTTTTTCTATAGAATATTTCTATTGAACATGTCTATGGAAAAGAAATGTACAGATAAATTTCAGAATCTTTCAGTAGAATCGAACTAAAACTAATAGACAGACAGATTTAATAGAAATCCAGTACAATTCAGTAGCGAAGTGGTGAAACGGTTTAAGTCGACTGATCTGCCAGTTGAGTTTTTGAGGAATATTTCCGAATCTAAGCGAGATAGCGAAATTTTCATAATTACATTTGTTGTAGCTCTCAGTCGGCTCTACAAAAAAGGTTATAACAAAAATTTTGCTATCTCCCTTAGATTCCGAGATATTTATTGAACACTGGTCAGTAGGCTAAATTGACTTTTACTGTTTTACCACTTCGGTACTGAGTTTTCTAACGAATTCGCTAGGATTTTCTATAGAATTTTTTCATTCATGTCGACTAATTAATTAATGAATTTAGCACATTTTGGAAGCCCTCCGACGAGCAACAACGGGTCGCACCTCGATTGTGATCGCCCACCGTCTCTCCACGGTGATGGACGCAGACGAGATTCTAGTCCTCGACAACGGTAAACTAGTGGAACGGGGCACCCACCAGGAGCTCGTCGTCAGCCCCCAGTCGATCTACAACAGACTCTGGGACGCCCAGAACGCCGGAGTCCTCAAGTCCCAGGAGCAGCAGAAACTACGACAGCAAGGCTCTACCTAACGAAACTCATCTGTTAGCCCCAATAACTCATTGTCGATTGTAAAAATCAAATCAACCCCGATGATGATTTAATGTAAATACAGAATTACGCAAATGACTGCATGTGATAGTATTTTCGTAATGTACATAAAAGAATATTTGAAAAATGAAAGTAATTGTGGAAAATAAAGTTGAGTTGACGAAGCAGTTAAAAAATTCATATCTTTATTTGTTGATTTATTTCATTAATTAATATGGAAATTGTTTAAGGGGAGACTACTGTTAGTTTTTAAAGTCGTGGGTTATTAGAGTGAGACTTTTCAGACGTTGAAGATCGATTATATAGATCTAAAAACGAGTAATTAGTGCAAAAAAATTTTTTTTTTGTTCGTTTTCCCGAAAACGCTAAAAATGCTAAAAACAGTCCAGGGTCTCCTATTTTTGAGCTACAAAAGATTTTTTTTTTTCAAAATTTTTGGAAAAATGTGTGGAACAACAATTAACGAGCCAGTTTTTTAGAATTCGACTTCTACACAGCTGATTTCGGTTTTTTTTCATAAAAAAAATCACTGTTTGTGTAAAAAATACAAAAAAAGCAAATTTAGCCATGTAAGAGGTGAATTAAAAAAAATCTAGCTCGTAATTGTTATTCCACATATTTTTCCGAAAATTTTGAAACAAAAAAATCATTTGTAGCTCAAAAATTGGAGGCCCTGGACTGTTTTTGGCATTTTAAGCGTTTTCCGGCAAACGAACAATAAAAAAATTTTTTTTTGCACTAATTATTCGTTTTCAGATCTATATAATCGATCTTCAAGGTATGAAAAGACTCACTCCAATAACCCACGACTTTTAAAACTCACAGTAGTCTCTCCTTAAACATCTGGAAAAATCATTTGGCTAAAATTCTGGATTAGAAAAATTTTATGATAATTTTAAAGAAATGATAATTAAGGATGAATTGATTGTGTCTAAACGATTTATAAGAAAGTTTGTAATTTTCAGAAGTTTCAATTTTAATTACTTCATAAATCTTCATAAAGAAGAAAATTTTTCATTTTTTTATATTTAAAAAATGTTCTTGTATAGTTAAAAACATTTCTTTTTGCATTAATTATAATTATTCGTTTTAGACAGATATAATTGATACGAAAAATCTCACTCGGATAGCCCGGGACATTTAAAACTCTAGCAGTCTCCCCTCAATATCACCGAATCAATCGAGTGAAATTCAACAGCTCGCGAGGTGTTTCCACGCCATCGTTTCACGTTTTGGAATGACTAAACTTATTTCATCCTGATTATTTATTCAGGAATCGCTGAAGATAAAAAAACTCACTCTGCTCACCCACCCCCATGTTATGATAAACCGTCGTCATAGTTACGGATTCTAAAACAATCATGGATGCCATTTAGCCGCAGAAATGCCTCAACAAAACAACTCAAAATGTTGACTAAACACAACAACCGCCGGGATCGGTGCCAGGCCCCGAAAAATGATAGTTAATCTGGAAAAATCATTTTTATAACAATCGGAAGATGCAAACTGAAGTGCCTGTACTGCCAATTGTGGATTCAAATGGGCACAAACGCTGTACTAGGTAATAAGTGCAAAAATAATGTGTTATGTGGTGTTGAAGTAGTGCACACGCGAAAGAATTTTGTAGAAAAACTCAGGGAATTCTAGAGAAAATTGTAGTAGATTTCTGTTGAAGTTCTGTTGAAAATTTTATTGGTTTCTGGTCGATTCTATTAAAGAATTCCGCGGCTGCGCTGCGTATTTTTTAAGGGAAAATGTCCTATGGAAACTATTTTATAGAAAATATCTGTAGAATTTCATCTTTCGGTACAACTTCTTCTATTGAGACATTTTCTGTAAAAATTTTTCAACATGAATTTTCTAAGTTTTTTCACTCTAGATGCAATATTTTGTATAGCTATAAAATGTATAGAATACATTACATATTCATCCGGATAAAAATATCGAGATAACGTTCGGAAGATAGTACACCCGGGCCGTAAGGGTGCCAAGTGAATTTGAAAAAAGATTCAAAAAAAATTTTTTCTTTCCCTCCATCATTGGAGAAATATGTATTCATCCATCCGACGAAATTTCAAACCCGCAACCGGAACTAGACATCGAGAAAATAAATGCGGAAAATCCTCTATTTCGCGTGACGAACCTCGAGAAAGCATGGGATCAAATGGGTACGGCGGGTTGAAATATCTCTCTTATTCACCCCGGTACCCCATTGTTTTTTGTCGCCATCACATTGAACACATCATTCCCCATATCTTCAAATTTTTTCAAATTTTTCTTGAGTTCCTAGGGGGTTGAAACGTTCAATTTAATCAAAACTCCATAAGAGGCCGTGTATAAGACTGATTTTGTTTATTTAATTTCTCGATATCCATAAGTTCTAAAATTTTAAAATTGTCACCGATGTTCACCATCTGTCTAATACTATTAATTTAAAAAATTATAACTTTGTTGGTGAATGTCAATTTTCAAGGTCATCGCCAAATTCACTTGGCACCCTTAAGAATAAAAATAAAGTTACGGAGAATGACGGAAAATTATGGAGTGTAATTTCTGTTCTAGAAAAACTAATGGAGAGGCCGGTTCGTCGATAGAAAGTAAGAATCATACGCAATGCAAGAGTGCTCAGTTTCTCATATCGAATCGCAAGCATTTGAATCCCATACTTGGTTTGTAAACGATTGTTCTTCGGGTGATTGCATGACTAAAATTACGGGTTTGGGGATTTTTTATTGATAGGAGCGCCGTACAAGAATAGCATGAGGCTGCACTGTGTCTCGGAGCCGACGAGGCGGCCCCTGAAGAACCCAGTGGGTCAGAGGATCATCTCAGCGAAGACTCTGAGGGTCAAGGAGCTGCAGAATCAACTGACTGATGCACATTATCATTTGAATGTGAGTAATACGTCGAAACATTTCGATGAAGGATACATGGAACAATTGTATGGAACACCTACAGTTTTTCTGAAAAATTCTCTTGAATTTCTATTGATATTTAATAAAAGCTCGACTTGAATTCTTTTGCATCGTTCGAAAATTTCCGCTGCAATTTTGGTAAAAAAAAATGTTGAAATTTTTCACATCATCATGTGAATTTGAATAACACATTGAACATTGCAATGGAGGATACATTAAATTCCACAGAAAACCGAAAGTTTCTCTACAAAATTCTATTGAGTTTCTATTAGTACTTCATGAGAATTCGATTTGGGTTTTACTACACTGTTTAAAAATTACTCATGAAATTACAAATTGTCATGTAGATTTTAGTGACAGAACATCAAAATATTTTAGTGAAGATATCTAGAAAAATTCTATAGAATTTCTATCTTTACGTCATAAGAGTTTCACATTATCATTTGAATTTGAATAACACATTGAACATTGCAATGAAGGATACATGAGAAAATTCTACAGAAAATCTAAAGTTTCTCTAAAAAATTTGAATTTCATGAGAACTCGTTCATGAGAATTCGATTTGAGTTCTATTAGACTGTTCAAAAATTATTCATGCAATTTTACTTCTTTAAAAGTCTGATAATTTGTCATTTAGAAAATTGTCATTTAGATTTCAGTGTCAAGACACCAAAAGATTTTAGGGAACGCTATCTGGAAAAATTCAATAGAAAACCTAAAGTTTCTCTGAACAATTCTATTGAATTTCTCGATTTCTATTGTACTGTTCTATTGCACTGTTCACGTTTTTTCATTTTTCATAACAAAATTCAAAGAAAAAAAATTGAGAAAATTTATGCTCAAGAATTCTCAAAGAAAAAATCCCAACAGAATAAAGCTTATCCGAAAAAATTAACGTTCATTGATTTTGTTTCTATTAGAAAACCCCAATAGAATTGTTGTAATGTCTATTAAATTTTTGATATACGTGGGTATAGTCTGTGAGGTATTTGATGATTCTCAGGAACTGGCTAATGAGAATAGACTGCTGAAAGCGCTCCAGAAGAGACAAGACTCTGCGTTGAAGAGATACGAAGGAGCTAATGCAGAATTACCGAGGATTATCAACTCGCATCATGAGGAATTGAAGGTTCTGCAGACTAAGTACAAGAGACTGAGGTCTCAGCACAAGCAGACGTGTGACTTGCTGAAGGAGAAGGACAATGAAATCCACACTTTACAGGTTTTTCACAATTTCGAAACCTCAAGTCTAAACTAAAACAACAAACTTATTTTTTCATTTTTGATTCCCCTTTTTTAGACACAAAATAAACATTTACTGCAATTGAGTAAAGACCGACACCTGGGGGAACGCGAGAAGCTGCAGATGCAGGTGTCTGATTTAAATCACAGGATAGAACAGCAGCAGGAAACTATTCAGGTGAATAAACTTTTCAAATTGTCTCTGCATTAGGGGAGGTTGGGGTAAAATGGACACTTGACTTTTTTAAAAATATCAATGAAATGTTGATAAAATTTAATAATTTTTACTTCATTACAAAGAAAGATTCTTCCCCTTTGTGATGAGCCTAAACTAAGCTGAATTGATCAATTTGTTTCTGAGTTATGAATAATTAAAACAAAAGTCTAAAGTGTCCATTTTACCCCACTCTCCCCTACTTTATTTATGAAAAAAGAAGGTGTAAAATGGATAGTTCTTAATCATGAATTAATCGAAATGCTCAGAGTAACGCACGAAAAAAATGCATACACTGAGAGAAAAAGAAACACGTTGTCGAACAAGTCCTGTTTGGGCCAACAAAATCGCTAGTTGAAAATTGCCAAAAAAGAATTTGTTTGGTTCGAATTTGAAAGCCTCAAACATGAATAATTGTTCTGCTTTCCACAGCAACGAAATATTTGGCTCAAGAGGCGGATAATTCACACCAGACGGTGCCTTTTCAGGATGAAAATATCTCATATAGAGGAAAGTTTATCAACAAATATTTTATCCCTTAGCTACAAGATTGCTGTCATATCATTATTATTGTTTCATTTAAGGGTTTATTGCTTGTCTGTGATTATTATTATAGACAGCCGAAACGAAAAATTATTATTCCTTGTTCCGCATAAAACAAAGATTTTTCGGGAGCAAAATACGTATGAGAGTATCGAATAACGAAGGAGTAGTGCTAGAAATGACATTTCTTGCGTGTACAGAGAATGCAATTTTTTTTCAACTACTAAATCTATTTCAGGAGCGAAGCGGTAAACCGGGTTAAGTCGATTTTAACTGTTGGTCAGTTTTTGACGAATATCTCGGAATCTAAAAGAGATACAAAAATTATTGTCATAACCTTTTTGTAGAGCTAACTGAGGGTTACAAAAAAGGTCATGAGCAATATTTTGTTATCTCTCTTAGATTCCGAGATATTCATCAAAAAATGGCCAAAAGGAAAAATCGACTTAACCCGGTTTACCGCTTCGCTACTGATTTTTGGGACAAAAAAATCCTTTTTTAATCATTTTCAAAAAACTATTTTATTGGCACAAGTAAGACTTGTTTGAGGACTTCGTCGTTTTTCTCTCAGTGTGGAGAAACTTAACGAATTCGATAGAAAATTCTGGTAGTACTGAAAAAATCAGTAGAATTTCATCTTTCTATACAAATTTTCTATTGAGAGATTCTCTGTAGAAATTCCTGGACATAAATTTTCCAAGTTTTTTTCACTCTATTGGTCTTCTCTTCTCGTCAAAAAAATCAAATGAATAAACTTAGAAAATAAAGCTAAAGAAAATTAAAAATTTCCAATAGAATTGTTATAAAAATTATTTTTCACTTGTTAAATCCAAAGATAGTCATCAGAAATTGGGGCTCAAGTGGAGTTTATTCCCCTCGTTTTCAGAATTTGAACAGGAAATTATCTCTAGAGAGTAAAAGCCTGAAGCATCAGTTGCATGTTGAGGCAACGAAGCATAAAGAGACCCAGAAGCAGTTGAACGAGGCCCTCGACAAATTAAAAAATCTGGAGGAATTGTTAGACAATAGAGAAAAGAGATTGTATCACAGTGGACAATTGCCGGCGTTCAACAAGCGGAAAGCGTTGACGAGTCAGTCTTTAACGAATTTAGGACTCTCCCATCTGATAAAATCTTCCAGTAAAAGTAGGGACTCGCAGAGTGATTTCAAAAACAAGAGTTTGGTAAGTCTTCATGATCCTTAATCTAACCCATATGACCCTTAATCGAACACCCGTGACCCTTAATCTGACCCTTGTGCGCCTTAATCTGACCCTTATGACTCGTCACCTGACCCCTGTGACCCTCAATTCAACCCTCGTAACCCTTATTCTGACCCTCATGGCCCTGATTCTGAATCTCGTGACCCTTATTCTGACCCCTGTGAGTCTTAATCTGACGCCTATGACCCTTAACGCGACCCTCGTAACCCTTATTTTGACCCTTGCGACTCTTATCCTGACACCCGTAACCCTTAATGTGACCCTTATTCTGACCCTATTGACCCTGATTCTGAACCTCGCGGCCCTTATTCTGACCCTTATGACTCTTCACCTGACCCCTGTGACCCTTAATCCGACCCTCGTAACCCTTATTCTGACCCTCATGGCCCGGATTTTAAACCTCGTGACCCTTGTTCTGACCCTTGTGACCCTTAACTCGACCCTCTCGACCCTTATTCTGACCCTCTTGACCCTGATTCTGAACCTCTCGACCCTTATTCTGACCCTTGTGAACCTGATTCTGAACCTCGCGGCCCTTATTCTGACCCATATGACCCTGATTCTTGTGACTCTTAATCTGACTTCTGTGACCCTTAATCCGACCCCTGTGACCCTTATTCCGACCCTCATGACCCTGATTCTGAACCTCATGACCCTTATTCTGATTCTTATGAGTCTTATTCCGACTCTCATGACTATTATTTTGACCCTCGTGACCCTCAATTGTGGGGTCTTAATTTCGAGTACCAAATTTTTATCACCAGAATTCGATTTGGATTTTTACAAGAAAGATTTCTCTCCGTGTAAAATCGACCGAAAACCAATCGAATATTTTCCCCCGATCGCCCGTCCCTCGCCTTCATCGCGCAACCAAAACCTCAACAGCAATAATTTCCCTCTTTTCCTGTTTCACCAAGCCAAAACTACCAGTGAACGACTCGAGCGACTCGAAGCCCTCATCCTCCAAGACGGAAGTCCCGGACCTCCCCAGGACTGAAACAATGGCGAGTCTCCACCAGATCCGTAAGTTTCGGCTCCAGAAGTCCAGCCAAGACCCACCTCGAGCGCTCACAGACCGTCTCCCCCTGGAGGAAGGCCCCGAGGCCTCGAAAAACCCCCGAAACGCCGTCCTGAACCACTCGGTCCCCACCGACATGCACAAGTTGTACGACCGACTGGACTCCCAGGACCTCGCCGACGACGAGATCAAGCACATAATGCACAACTTTGAGCCTAGAACCCCCTATCGAACATCCAAAGATCTCCTCAAGGAGTACGGATACTCCACCGACACCGAGAGCGAAAACCTCGAGGAGGAGGAAGAAGAGGAGCATCTCCAGCGACTCCAGCACCCGAGGGCCTCCCCAACGAGCAAATCGCGGCACTTGCACTCGAAACTGATCAACGGATCGCTCGACAATCAGAGTCTCCACCTGGAGGACGCCTTCCACGACCTGAAAGCCCAGAGACTCGAGAGTAAACTCTACAGGAGAGTCCGGCGAGACTCTGAAGTTAAAGACGTGGAGACAACCTCGGGAAGTGACTCTGAGCCCGAAAAGACCACCAAACCGGAAGCGTCGAGACTCAGAAAGATAGAGGAATCGAATCCCCCTGTGGCGGATATCGAGAACAGTCAAGAGCGATTGCTGAGCATCACGAAATCCTGGACAGACCTTCAACACAGGTAAATGTGGACATCCGTATGAAAAGGGACCACTTTGGCACTATTAGAGTTATGTATATGGCGATAATCTTGATCTGATTCTGCAAATTTAGAGCCAAAAATGAACTTGATAGCGTAATGAGTGACGACGTTATAGACGATCGAAAAAATGATTTAACATGGGTTTAAATGGGAGTTGGCAAGAGAAAAACGTGAATATATCGGAAAATAGAATCGACAAAGTGGTCCCTTTTCATGCGGACGTCCACAAATATAGTTAGCGGGCAAAATTCAGTCATTTCACATCTAGTATTCAACACCATCTTTAAAATGGTTCAGTGGTGATTGCGGGAATTAAAAAATTCAATAGGAAATATAGCGAATTCGTTAGAAAATTCTATTGGAATTCTATTTGTTTCTTGCACTGATTCTATTGCATATTTGATAGGATTCTATATTTAATATATATTAGAATATTGAAAATATTTTTTAAATATATTTTGTCAATATATTTTGAATTCCTTTTCGAATTTTTCTCTTGCGATTTTTTCTATTAGAATTATTGGGCGCAAATTTTGATATTTGTGTCTTACAATAGCATTTTCTTTTGCGACTATTCAATTGATGAACGATGTGGAGCAATCATAGAATTTGAAATTTTATTTCTTAGAAATTTTTTTTTTCTCAGTGTATAGAAATCGTGTAGCAATAATTTGTACAAAAATATCCGTGTAGAAATATCCGAAGATTATGTACCCAGAAAAGAATTTTTTCCAGTGCCATCCAAAATTTAACAGGACATCGGCAATTTGTCGACAAATTGTCGACAATCCTATAGAAATTCAATTTTCTCTACGATTTTTTCATATGCGCACCGTACCCTTCTTACAGTAAAATTAGAAATAATTGCTGCGTTCAATACAGGATAAAGCGAGGTCGAGAGGCCTCTGAGGCTCAACTAAACTCCCTGGAGAACTCCCCAGAGACGGAAGAGAGCACATCCAGAGGGAAGGAGGACAAGCTGCTGAGATACTTCGAGAGGGAAGAGGAAGTGGAACAGGAGATCTACGAGTCCCACGACAAATCTCGTCGTGGAACCTTCGGCCTTGAGCGCTCCCAGTTCTCGGACAATCAATTATCCGTGAAGAATGGGTACAACGAGAGTGATTCTGTGACGAATGGGGAATGCTCACCCGGGGAAACACCGGAAGTGGGCAGAAGAAAAAGTAGTGATGGCGTTGTTGAGGCGGACATAAGTAGTTTTAGGGGGAAAAACCCAGGGACATCAATTCCGAGTGCTGGGAAAATCGATGGAGATTCGGCTGATGATAAACTGGGGGACAAGGTGAATGATAAAGGCGGGTTTAATAAGGAGAGATTGCTGGCTGCCATGAAGGCCATCGATGATAACGAGAATATAGAGTTCATTTCGAATCAGAAGACCAATCAGAGGGGCAATTCAAGCGTCAGGTCTCAGGTCACTGAGAACCTGTACCGGGGACTGCCGACACACGCCAGGAAACGGGATGACATTATTAAAGACATTTTTAGTGACGCTAAGGTGGATAATAAACTGCGGAGTGGATGTAGTAAGTTGCATTGAGATTATAGGGGTCTAGGGCTGTATTTCTCTCGGTAAAATTTCTCTTGGGAATTTCTTCATCCCAAGACTTCTCCAAAAGTTGTTCAAAAGATATTTTTCCTAAGAGCTAATAAAATAATACCTCGTTTTGAAATTTCAGAGGTCTTGAAATAACTTTTTTTTAAGACGTAATTTGAAGCCCAAAACCGCGCGTTGAGAGCTTCGACAGTCTCAATTTAATTAAGGATGTATTACATCCCTTTCGCCACAATTCACGTTTTTTGAATTTTGATAGTAAATTGTTGATCGGATTGACGTGAAAAAATATACCGTTGTTGCGTTTTATCATCACTTAATTTCACGATTTTGATTTTGATTTTTTCTGATTTTTCGGTTTAGACTCACGAAATTTCATGATCGTGCAATCATTTTCCTGCGTTTTTTCTAAAAATTTTCGGAAATTCATAAAATTTTCGGAAATTCACAAAATTTGAGAAAAAATGCAGGAAAATGATTGCACTACCATGAAACTTCGTGAGTCAGTATATTATTTCGCGTCAATCCGATCAATAATTTGCCAGAAAAATGAAAAAAAAAAACGTGAATTTTGGCCGAAACGGTGTAATACATCCTTAAAGTGAAGTTGAAAGTTTCGAAGAGGTCAATTTGAGATTTTCAAAGCCTCACGTTAGAAGTTGCGAAGGTGTTAATTTCAGATTTTCGGAATTCAACTTGAAATTCGTCTTTAAGTTGAGTTCTGAAAGTTTCAACTTGAGACTTTTGAAAGTCTTCATTTGAGACTATCCAAAATTTCAATTTGAGATCATAAATATCGAAATAAAGCTTGTTTTTTTGGGTGAACTTGCCCTTTTTTTCTTATTCACTCCCGACAAGTTCGAAATGCATAATTTTGTACGTGAATAATTTGAAATGATCCTTCCAATATAGAATTTTGAGAAAATTAGAGAAAAAAGAGGAGAAATTTTCAGTCTGTGAATTAAAAACTCATGAATTTCACAGTGAATCACGTATGAAGAATTTTCATAGAAAAGCCTAGCGAATTCGCTAAAATATTCTATTAAAAAAATTCTATGGGAAGATAAAAATCTACTGATAAAATAGTTCCCATTAGACATGTTCTATAGAAAAAACGCGCAGTAAAGCTGCGGAATTCTTCAATAGAATAGCCCAAAAACCAATCGAATTTTCAATGGAAATTCTACAGAAATCCAATAGAATTTTCTATCGACTTCGCTAGGTTTTTCTACGAAAGTTCTTTATTCGTGGTTCGAATCTGTGAATTAAAAACTCATGAATTTCGCATGAATCACGTATGCAGAAATTTCATAGAAAAGCCTAGCGAATTTGCTAAAAAAATTCTATGGAAAGATAAAAATCTACTGATAAAATAGTTTCCATTAAACTTTTTCTATAGAAGAAATGCGCAGCAAAGCTGCGGAATCCTTCAATAGAATAGCCCAAAAACCAATCGACTTTCCGATGAAAATTCTACAGAAATCCAATAAAATTTTCTATCGATTTCGCTAGGTTTTTCTACAAAATTTTTTCGTTCGTGGTTCGAGCCAAGTTACAAAATTATGTTAAAAACATTGTAAATGAGTTAATTATTCACATCAACCATTGAATAAAATTACTTAATTCAAGATAAATAATTATGAAAAACAGATGTGGAAAAATGGAAAATTAACTTTTTATTTCAATCCGTACCGCATATTATCTATTATTGTCTGTGAGATATTTTCGGAAGGAAATGAAATAAAAATTTTCAGTCGAAGACATTTTGGAAGAGAAATTTTACAATGGGAATTTTTTCCGGAAAAATATAGTCCGGATACCAGATTACAGGGGCACGGATTAATCAAGCACACTAGGGTATAAAGTCGTTGGGAATGCGGGGGTGGTGGTTTATTAATTTTTTTATTTATAGCTGTTACTTCAAGGTTGACAGCTGATTAATTTAGCATGGGTAATCAATTTGAACGGCGCTGGGGACACGTCGCTGGTTAGGTTTTTCAAAGGGTTGACAGATCCATTTTAACGAGCTGTGAATGACTTATTGTGTAGTTTCACTACTTTTGAAATTCAGGTATGATATTTATGTGTACAGAGACGGTAATTCTGGGATTAATTGTGATGGTGAATTTATCAGAGGTGGTTCTGGAGAAATATGTCTCGAGAGTTTTTTTAGAATTTGAGAGTCATAGAAAAGCTTTCGCTGAAAATTCTTCGTTGAATCTACTTGTTTCAGAGATTTCTGAATCACTGAATGAAGAACAATTTATTCTCTTGGGCAAGATAAAAAATAGAGTAGCGAAAGAAAATTAGAAATCGTCTCTATGAGGAAGAATTTTAGTGAAATATTTTGAAAAACTTTCTTGAAAATTTTCACGCACGGAAAAATTTCATTAAAAAAACCATCGAATTGAATAGAAAATTATATTGGATTTCTATTGAAAATTGTATCAATTTTTGGAGCGATTTTATTGAAATATTCCGCAGATTATTACTCTTTTTCTCTATAAAAATTTTTTAATAGATGCTAATTATAGAAAAAATCAGTAGAATTTCATCTTTCTGAACAACTTTGTCTATCGAGAAATTCTCCACAGGAATTTCTTGACATGAATTTTTCCAAGTTTTTTCCACTCTTTTCTTTCTTTTTTCTTTTTATTAAGAAATTGAATTGAAATGTCAAGAAATGTTCTCTATAAAATATCTCAATAGAATAAGTTGTGCATAAAAATGGTATTCTATTGATTTTTGCTATGGAATATTTTCCACTGAATCGGTCAAAAATCAATAGAAATTGCAATAGAAATCCAATAAAATTTTCCAGCGAATTTCCTCATCCATGAAATTTTTTCGGGCGTGTCATGGGCTTCGAAAGAGTTACCTTAGTTTTTTATTTAAAGAAAAAATATCTGAAGAAAATCTTTTGACCAATCTCCATTCGTTTCCCATTTTCACATAAAATATTTTGACTATTACAGTTAATTACAGAATTACTGATGCATGTAAAGTGTGTCACTGTGTAAAATGTGTGATTAAATTTCGTACGACGAAAAAAAAAAATAAAAACCATAATTTTCATACTGAAAAACAAACCATCAAAAAATTCATCAATCACCTCCTGTTGTATTGAATATTTTTTTATTCATCATTTCATTTCATCTTTTTCTATAAATAGTATAAAATTTCATTGTGAAAAATAATTTCAGATAAATCTCAATTCTGTACAATACATTTAGACAACGATTCTATATAAAATGTCTTTAAAAAATCTCTCCACCTCTCAACAGCATGAGACAACTCTGTTGATAGTCGTTGTTAGTCTTCGGTGTACATAACAAGATTTTCGACCCCTTTGGTGGTTTTTTATTAACAGATGTTAACTTTATATTAAATAGAATGATTCAGCCAGTCGTGGAGTGCAATGTGACGAGTTTAGCTCCGACGTTTCATTAAAGATTTAATTATCTCGATAGCAAATGACTTTGGGGGAAAATTCTAAAAAACTTGTTTTGTTGTGAATTTTTTCAGTCACAAAAATAAATAGACAGTTGAAAAACAATCCAATTTGTTTCAAAGAAAATTAAAAAATTAATTAATTATTTTTAATCATAAATATCACGAGAGTGGTAGAGTGGAATTGAAACAATTCAATTTTATCATGAAATTTCATCCGTAAACTCACACAATAACACCAGATTTATCCAGACCGCATAATTTGATTATAAAATGATGAAGATGACCAAGTAGAATTAACAAAAATGATGAGAACATTGAATTGAATTTTGGATAAACTGATGAACTCCAATTTTAAATATAGGGAAATCTTCAGAATAAGTAAATAAAAACTACATAATTTTGTAACACTTGTCCAAACTTCAAAATGAGGCTAAATCCATTCAAGCATTATGTAAGATCAGATCAGATCGGTTGAGAATGATGAGATGAGGAAAATTCAAAAAAGATAATTTTATAATTTACTTCCTCCTCAGTCCACTACTGAACACGCCTTTCCTGTTTGTACAATGCCTAAAGATTTCTCTATTGTCCCCCAATCAAAAATCCAAAAAATTTCAATGAGTAACAAAGAAATAATAATATAAACCGGTGAAATTCTGAAGATTCCATGCAATTTTGAAGCTTTATCCACAGCTTCAAAATAACACCAGATTTATTCAGATCCCATCATTTGGCCATTCCATCTTGAACATTAGAAAGGCCAATCAACGAAAATAATGGAAACAATGAATTTAATTTTGGATAAAACGATAATTTGCAATCGTAAATATCTGAAAATGCGCAGAATGAATTCGAAAAAAATGTTGCTCATTTTATAACATTTTTTCAGATTCCAGACTAAATAAATCCAAACACCATTTAAGATCAGATCAGATCAGAATAATCGGATGACGAAGATTCAAAGAAGATAATTTGATAATTTTGTCCCTCCCCACTCTACTACTGAATGAATCGTTTGAGCAACGAGGATAGACAAGTCTTTCCTGTTTGTACAATGCCCAGAGATTTGTCTATTGTCCCGCAATCAAAAAAATTTCAATGAGTAACAAATAAATAATAATATAAACCGGTGAAATTCTGAAGATTCCATGCAATTTTGAAGCTTTATCCACAGCTTCAAAATAACACCAGATTTATTCAGATCCCATCATTTGGCCATTCCATCTTGAACATTAGAAAGGCCAATCAACGAAAATAATGGAAACAATGAATTTAATTTTGGATAAAACGATAATTTGCAATTGTAAATATCTGAAAATGTGCAGAATGAATTCGAAAAAAATGTTGCTCATTTTATAACATTTTTTCAGATTCCAGACTAAATAAATCCAAACATCATTTAAGATCAGATCAGATCAGAGTAATCGGATGACGAAGATTCAAAGAAGATAATTTGATAATTTTGTCCCTCCCCACTCTACTACTGAATGAATCGTTTGTTTGTACAATGCCCAGAGATTTCTCTGTTGTCCCCGGGTCAAATAATATCAATGAGTAATAAAGAAACAATAATATAAATATGTAAAATTCAACAAAATTCGTAAACTCAACACTCACGATGGAAGATCCAAATTAAGTTGATCTTGTGCACTGTTTTTCCGTGAAAAATGTTCAGCCATTTGCTAAAAATCACCCATGGCTGCAATAATGTTCGATAACGCAGTTCTGGCGTCACTCTCTTGGAAGACACTCAAGACTTCCATTGCTTGTTGTGAGTGGTCCTTCTGTAACTGCTTCGTCAGCTCGACACCTGGGCCCTTGGTAACACTGTCGTACACCTGAGCACAGAGATAATCCATTAATATGGAACTCGATAAAAATTTCATTGGTGTTGTATTAGAATTTTACTGAGAAATTCCGTTTGTTTTTTGCGCCGATGCTATAAAAATCATACTTCCTTGTATGTTTTCAAATGGATATTTGTTTACAGAAAAAAGTCTATAGGTTTTGATTTTTCTATACAGCTCGTTCTGTTAGGATTGTTTCTATAACAATTCTCGGGCATGAATTTCCTGAGTTTTTACCTTGGATTTTATTATGAGAAACAAATGGAAATACAGTAGAAAAAATTTACACCCAGGATTGTCTATTGACAAATTAAAATCTAGTGGATTTTTTCTGTTAAACATCTGTTAATCGAATTAATTCTTACAGAGCTCCAATGAAAATTCACCAGAATTTTCTTAACAAAACGCAAGCACTGAAACTTTAATAGAAAAATCTAGAGAATTCGCTACAAAGTGGTGTATGATTTCTATTGAACTTTCAAATAATTTTTAGTGGATTCTATTGGAAAATTGCGCAGCTTATCCACGTTTTTTTTTTCAATAGAAATGTTCAATGAAAAATATTTTATTGAAAAATTCATAGAATTAGATTTTTCTATACAACTCATTCTATTGAGATATTTTCGATAAAAATTCGTCGGCTCAAATTTTCCAGGTTTTTTCTTCAATTTTTTTTTACTGAAACGAGAGGAAAAATAGAGTAGAAAAAAACTTGGAAAATTCGTGTTGAGGAATTTCTGTAGAAAATGTGTCAATAGAAAAAATTTATAGAAAATTGGAATTCTACTGATCGTTTTCTATAAAGTAGTTTCTATTGGACATTTTCTATGAAAAAACGCGCCATAAAATTCTGAAATTCTTCAATCGAATCCGATAAAAACTAATAGAATTTTCTATCGAATTCCATATGTTTTTCTATTATTTTTTCTCGTGCGTGTTTAATCGCTTGTATTTTATTTCTCAGTGGTTTTACCTTTGCATAATCAACGTTTTGGACGGATTGTAGACCTTTATCGATCTCGGTTAGAATTGATGGATCGTGCTCGATGTGGAACATCACTGGGGCTGAACAGAGATTGAATGGAGATGCTGGATCCTCCTTGCTGATGAATGGACTCAAGTCGAGACATGCCTAAAAATTAATTATGAGTATTTAATGTTTCTGGAGAATAAAAATTTTTTGATGTCATGAAGAATTTTGCTATTTCATTTTTCCTCAGATAAAACACATGTTATTAGACTACTAGGAGATTATTATAATTATTATAATTAGTTATTACAGTAGTGAAAAATCTCGAAATATTTAATAGCGACTAAAACATATGCAATTAAAAAATGTATTATTAGACAAATCAGGTAATTTCTGGAATATTCAATGACTTTGCACTTTTCGAGTTCATTAGGTAATGAAAATGATAAAAATCAGGTAAGTATTGTTCTCAATTTCCAATTTATTGAAATATCAATGAATGAATGCATTTGCAAAACTAATTTTTGGTGAATTTTCAAGATAAGTAAGAAAATCCACAAAGAATTTGGTACGAAATTAAATTCAAATTTATATGATTGAAAATTGGAATATAGCTGCTACTCGAATTTTTCAAAATTTCAACAGAAATAAAACAACCATTTCAGTTAGTGGACTTGAATCAATTTCTATTTCTTTAATTCAATTCATATTCATGAATGACCAAGTGAAAGTTGCTCAATAATTGTGGAAGTATTATGAAATGAGCAATCTTAATGATGTAATTGGGATTACTTTAATCTTTTCAAGATTGTTATTCCAAGTCATGAATACTCAGGTTAATAAGGAAATCTATTTACCTCAAATTATTGAAAATTCAATTGACTGTGACCTGTGATTTTTTAAAAATACACTTCCATCATTAATCACTTTCTACTTCTTCAATTCAATCTATATTCGTGAATAATGGAGTAAAGTGCACAATAATTGTAGAAGTATTACGAAATGAAAAAATCTTAATGATGCAATCGGGAGTATTTCAACATTTTTAATAGCTCTTTCATGTTATGAATCGAAAAAAAGGAAATTATTTACCTGCCAAGCAAGAGCCAAGTGTTTTCCAAAATTGTACCCCTGCATTTGCAGATCCTCGTCATGTCCAGCGAGCTTCAGAGTACCTTGACACGATTTTCCAAGGAGTGAGCCAGCACTCGTGACATTCTGAAGAGTCCACTCTCTCACAGCATAGCCACTTCGATCCTCAGGGGGTACTGGAGGTAGTGCATTATTCTGACTGTCCCTACGGCCAAGAAATTCCGCTTCTGCCAGATCTCGAACTGCACTTGACATTAATTCAACTAACTAAAACATCAATTGCATTTTTTTATTAAAAATAAATTGAGGATCAGATGAACAAAAGGAAAACGTACGAAAAGAGTTAATAGAAAACAGCGTTTCCGTTTCTTAACGAAATTATATTGAATATCATTTTCAATTCCATGAGAATTCTAATAGAAAAATGAGTTCATTTGTCAACGGATATTTCCTAATAACTCAGCCTATTGTGATTATTTCTATAAGAATTCATTAATTTTATTATGAGAAACAAATGAAAAGGAGAAAGATTTAGAAAAGTAATGCCCAAGAATTTCTATGGAAAAATTAAAATCTATTGACTTTTTTCTATCAAATATCTTTTAACAAAACAACATAAAAATTGCATAATCTTCAGGAAAAATTGCGAACAGAAAATAAAAAGAATTTTTTATTATGATTCCAATAGAAATTCAATAGAAAGTCTGAAAGAAAGTGCTGGGTTTTCCTATTAATTTTGTTCATACGTGAAATTATGAAAAATAAAATGAAAAGTGAATTGGACTTACATCTTGATTCCTGAGTGCTGCGAGTTCAGCACAGCTGTTCCCCAGGAGGTAATCTCCACTGAGAAGAGCAATTTTGTTCCCAAAAGTCATGTCATTGTGCTCAGCAGCGTCTGGGAAGACTCCGGGCTGGATATTGACAAGTCCCTTATGAACTAAATGACTCGTGCGAATCATCTCAGTGACTTCAGCCAGTGCTCTCTGACTGTGGAGCACTCCTGCCGCCTTGTCCTCCTCCATATCATCGACATTCAGGTGCCCACCTGCCTTCGAGATTAAGAGGACTATCAGGCCCCATGCCTGCATATTGTTCCTTCCATTGTAAATGAGACTTCTGCAAGGAGCAATTGAAGAGGATCAAATTATTTTTCTCAAACAAATGGGAATATAAGAAAAATAACAGAAGTTTGATAAATATCTCTAGAAGGAAGAGGTTTAGGGGAAAATGCCAAAAGACATTTCTCGTAGAAAAGTTAATTGGCTGTAAAAAAGGTTATTTGATGTTTTCGTCTAAACCTAGTGGGTCCAGAGATATTCGTAGAAGAGTGGATGACAAATGAAATCGTTTTGATTGAAAAAATTAAGAATTTTCAGGGAGGATAGTGAAAGTGAATTAGCGAATATCTCGGAGAGAAAGGGGTGTTGGAGATAAGGTCAGGTCGCATTTTTTGGGGGAAATCTGCGGGCATAATGAGCAAAACATGCAATTCTTCCAAAATGAATACGAAAATCACAATAAGATTGAGAGTGAATTCGTCAATACTTCTGAAAGGAAGAAGTTTAAGAATAAATATCAAAGAAGTTTTTTGTAGAAAATTTCATGAGCTCCAAAAAAGCTATTTTTGCATTTTTGTCTAAACCTACTCATTTTCACGATACTCACAAACAAATTATCAAAAAAAGAAATTGTCCTCCAAAAACTAAAAAATTACAAAATGGAGAAGTCTAATTAATTCGCCCATATCTCTGGAAGGAAGAGATTTAAGAAAATATATTAAGGACCTTTTTTGTAGAGAATTTCATGAGCTCCAAAAAAGCTATTTTTGCATTTTTGTCTAAACCTACTCATTTTCACGATACTCACAAACAAATTATCAAAAAAAGAAATTGTCCTCCAAAAACTAAAAAATTACAAAATGGAGAAGTCTAATTAATTCGCCCATATCTCTGGAAGGAAGAGATTTAAGAAAATATATTAAGGACCTTTTTTGTAGAGAATTTCATGAGCTCCAAAAAAGCTATTTTTGCATTTTTGTCTAAACCTACTCATTTTCACGATACTCACAAACAAATTATCAAAAAAAGAAATTGTCCTCCAAAAACTAAAAAATTACAAAATGGAGAAGTCTAATTAATTCGCCCATATCTCTGGAAGGAAGAGATTTAAAAAAATATATTAAGGACCTTTTTTGTAGAGAATTTCATGAGCTCCAAAAAAGCTATTTTTGCATTTTTGTCTAAACCTACTCATTTTCACGATACTCACAAACAAATTATCAAAAAAAGAAATTGTCCTCCAAAAACTAAAAAAATACAAAATGGAGAAGTCTAATTAAATTCGCCCATATCTCTGGAAGGAAGAGATTTAAAAAAATATATTAGGGACCTTTTTTGTAGAGAATTTCATGAGCTAAAAAAAATCTTCAACATTTTTCCCTAATCCTACTTATTTTCGAGAGATTTCAAGCAACTGAATAAAAAATGAAATTGTTCGCGACAAAATAAAAAAATACAGAAAGGACTAGTCCAACTAAATTCGCCAAAACCTCCGTAGGAAGAGGTTTAAAAAATATATTACAAAGCTTTTTTTATGGAGAATTTCATGCCCTACAAAAACCTACTATTACATTTTCCTCTAAACCCACTCATATTTGAGACACTCGCAAAAAATGAATGAAAAATCAACATTTACTCCACAAAATTGAAAATTCCCGCAAGGACTCGTCGAAACTAAATTCGCCAATATCTCTGAAAGGAAGAGGTTTCTAGTAAAAATATCAAAAGATCTTTTTTACAGAGAATTTCAATAGCTAAAAAAAACCTATTTTTACATTTCTCTCTAAATCCATTTATTTTCAAGATATTCACGGAAAATAAATGAAAAATCGTGATTTTCTCCACAAAATAAAAAATTCCAGTAAGAAACAGTGAAAATAAATTCCCGAATATCTCTGAAAAGCAAAGATTCAAGAAATAATGTCAGTAGTCCTTTTTTGCAGAGAATTTCACGAACAAAAACTCACTCTTCACATTTTCCCTCAAACCCACTCATTTCCAAAACAATCCCCCGAAATGTCTGAACAAAAAACAAATGAAAAATCAAATACTTCGCTGTCTTCAACAGTGGATGATTGGATCCCACCAGTTTCCTCAGATGCAGAGCAACATTGGCAATTTCGTCACTGAGAAGCCACCGTAGACTCAAAAACGAAGTTGGATATCCCACAATTTTCTCAGCTTCCGACACAGCTCTGTTCCAATCGGGTTTCTGATTGGTGGCCACTCTGGTGGCATAGCATCTCCAACTTCTGGGTTCATCGTCACTCCTCTGGGGTAGATACCCCCTCTGCGCCTCCCGGAGCACCAGATTTCTGTCACGAAGTAGAGCAGAAAGTGCATTCGCTCTCCTGACAATCGTCAACACTGAGTTGTTGATGGACATGTCTTTTAAATCTTTTCACTTTTCTATTTTCTCTCACGGGGGATGAGGTTTATCGAGTGACAGGATGCTTCAGGATGAACGACATTGGGCACACTGCTTACATCGGGAATATGCGAGAACTACCTAAGTTTCAAAAACTTTCACCTTTGGCCTGAATTTCTAGACTGGCTGCGTTCATAACCGATGGTAACCTCAACTCAGGAATTCTTTCATTCGTGAAGTGAAGTGACGTTACGTGTGTGTTATCATTATCCCTACTACTTTGCGACAAGTGAAGCCGGCATTGTTAAAGGGGGGGGGGAGAGGGGGCGCATGCGTAAGCGTAGACGCCTGTTGCTCTCTTCGAGGGCAATTGTTTAAACAACAATTGAGCGTGTGAAAAATAACGTATGAAAAAAAATTTTTAGACAAATTTGTCGAATTCGCTAGGAAATTCTAGTGGGTTGTGTTGAAGTTTCTTAGTTTTTGGCCGATTCTATTGGAATTCTGAAGCTTATCTGCGCGGTTTTTTCGATAGGATTGTTCAATGGAAAATATTCTATCGAAAAAATCAATGGGATTAGGGGAGGGTGGGGTAAAATGGATCCTTTAGACTTTGTTAAAATTATTCATAAGTCAGAAACAAATAATTATTAAATTTTATCAACATTTCAACCCCTCATTAATATTTTTAAAAAAGTCAAAAGTGTCCGTTTTACCCCAACCTCCCCTAAATTTTTCTATGTAATTAGGGGAGGGTGGGGTAAAATGGACACTTTAGACTTTTTTTAAAATTATTCATAACTCAGAAACAAATTTATCAATTGAGCTCAGTTTAGGCTCGTCACAAAGGGAAAGAGTTGTTCTTTGTACAGAAAAAAAATTATTAAATTTTATCGACATTTCCACCCCTCATTAATATTTTTAAAAAAGTCAAAAGTGTCTGTTTTACCCCAACCTCCCCTATGTTTTATTCTGTTGAGATATTTTCTGTAGAAATTCCTCGGTTCGAATTGTCTAAACTTTTTATTTGATTTTTATAAAAATGAAAGAAATAGAGAAACGAATAGAGTGGAAATATGTTCAAGAATTCATGTCGAGGAATTCCTATCGAAAATGTTTCAACAGAAAAAATTGTATAGAAAGATGAAATTCTATTGATTTTTTTCTATAAAATAGAATTTTTTATGGAATTTGCTAGAAAATTCTAGTGGATTTGTATTGGAATTGCTTATCTGCGCGGTTTTTTCAATCGAATTGTTCAATGGAAAATATTGCATCGAGAAAAAGTTCATAGAATTCAATTTTTGTATGCAACATTCTTTTGAGATATTGTCTACAGAAATTCCTCAGCTCAAATATTCTAAGTTTTACTTTTTCTTATGAAAAGAGAAGAAAAATAGAATGGAAAACATTTTGAAAATTCATGTCGAGGAATTCTACAGATTTTTTCTATAAAATATCGATTCGATTCGAAAATCATATAAAAAAACGCACAGTAAAGTTGCAAAATTCTTCAGGAGAATCGGTCAAAAACTAACAGAAGTTTCAGTAGAATTCAACAGAAATCCAATAAAATTTTACATCGCGTTTGCGAAGTTTTACGAAAGAACTTCATGGAAAAACCGAGTGAATTTGCAAGAAAATTCTATGGAATTTGTATTGGACTTGCTGCAGTTTGTTTGTTTTTTTGTTTCATTTTTTTAATGAAAAGAGATGAAAAATAAAGTCAAAATAACTAGGAAAATCCATATCCAGGAATTTCTATAGAATGTATCAATAGAAAAATTTGTATAGAAAGATGGAATTCGACTGATTTTTTTATAAAATAGTTTCGATTGGAAATTTCTATAAAAAACGCACAGTAAAGCTGCGGAATTCTTCAATAAAATCTGCCAACAACTAATAGAATTTCCAATAGGAATTCAATAGAAATCCAATAGAATTTTTTATCGAATTCGCTACGGTTTTCTGTAAAAAATTTTCACCCAAAAAATTTACTCATCACCAGTAGATAAAATAAAAATCCGATGATAATTTCTAACCCCGAAAGTTTCTTATGAATTATCCTTCAAGAGCAGTTTTAAAAATCACGAAAAACGTGTTCAAACGAATCTTTAAATTGCTTAACCCAAAGGGTCGATGAGGAGTTCCGTGAAGTTGGTCTTCAACTTCGCAAAAAGTGAGTCAAAAGTTCAACTAATAATAGTTTCCTGAAGGCCTTCATCACATTCTCTTTAAAAAATTGCAAATAATGTTGAGGCGAATATTATTTGCATAAAATTGGCAAACTTTCAACACAAGAGAAAATTCACTCACTGATAGTGAATGCGTTATAAAAATCCGACGATCATTCTTAACCCTAGTCTGGGGAGCGATTTTGCTCGTTTTATGTCGACATAAAATCGTAAATTTCAACCAATGACAGTCCTGGATTCGGAATACTCAAGTAGGATTGGTTAAAATTTATGATTTTATGTCGACATAAAACGAGCAAAATTGCTCCCCTGGTCACCTGACGGGAAAATGCGACTTTAGTCACATTCGCGGGAGAGTGCCGCCGTGTTATTTAGGCTCCAGCGTTGCCGAATCCACTCTACACTTCCCGGGCGCGTTTAGCGAGTTCCCAGCAACGTCGCGCAACAGGCAATTTCATTTAACACGGGAGAAAATTGTTCCCCTGTTGGAAATAATTTTTTTTCTCCCAGAATGAAGGATACAATATTGAAAAAAAATACTAGAATTTTCCAGATACTTCAATTGACGAATTCAATTTTTCTCACGTTTTTCCGGTCAACCAGTCGATGGCAAGGTGAATAAAACGACGTGTTGCAGCAATTCCCTCGCATGGTGACCAGTCTAGGGTTAATACCGAAATTTCTTGCCATTCCACCTTCAATATTCCTTTAAAAAATTGGTAAAAAATGTTAATCCAGCATTTTTAATTGAAAAATAGTACACAAAAATATGTAAAAAACTGAAATTCCGTAAATAAAAAAAAGTTATCAACTTCCCAAAAACTCAGTTGAAACCAGAATTTCTTAACGAAATGGGTCAAAAACTAACAGAGAGTTCAATAGAAATTCAATTGAATTTTTTAGCGAATTGACAAAAAATTTCTATAGAAAATTCTATGAATTTTCATTCGATTCTATTGAAGAATTTTATCAGCTTTACCGTACGTTTTTTTTTATAGAAAATGTCCAACAGAAACAATTTTATAGAGAGACTTAGCATAATTTCATCTTTCTATTCAACTTTTTGTATTGAAACATTTTCTGCAGGAATTCCTTGACATGAATTTTCAAAGTTTTTTCCACGTTATTCTTCTTCCCCTTTTATTTAAAAAATCAAATTAAAAAAGTTGGCAAATTTAAGTTGATGAATTTCATTCGAAAATATCTAAATAAAATGAATTGTATAGAAAATTTCAATTCTAATTCTAATCTGATGTCTTCTATAGAATATTTTCCATTAAACATTTCTATTGCAAAAAAACGCAGATAGACTATAGAATTTTTCAAAGGGTCACGAGGGTCAAAACTAATAGAAAGTTTAATAGAAATCCCACAGAATTTTCTAGGAAATCTAATTTTCTAGGAATTCTATTGGAAATTTTATAACTTTTTATGCGATTCCATTGACGAATTTCGCAGCTTTACTGCGTGTGTTTATAGAAAATTTCCCTTTTTTTAAAATAAAAAACAATTAGTAGAATTTCATTTTTCCATACGGGAGGATGGGGTAAAATGGGCACTTTAGACTTTTTTAAAATTATTCATAACTCAGAAAAAAATTCATCAATCGAGCTTAGTTTAGGCTCGTCACGAAGGGAAAGAATTGTTCTTTCTATGGAAAAAAAATTATTAAATTTCATCAACATTTCAACCCCTCATTAACATTTGAAAAAAGTCAAAAGTATCCGTTTTACCCCAACCTTCCCTACACCTTTTTGTATCGACACCTTCTCTACAAGAATTCCTCGATATGATTTTTCCAAGTGTTTTCCACTCTATTCTTCTTCCCCATTTATTAAAAAAAAATCAAATTTAAAAAACTTGTAAAATTTTAGTTGACGAATTTTAACAGAAAATATTTCAACAGAATGAATTATATTAAAAATAAAATAAAATGAATATTCTACAGAAGAAATCACTAGAATTATAATTCTTCTAACTTCTATAGAATATTTTCCATCCAAAATTTCAATCCAAAAAAACGTGCATCTACAGGCGACGGTGGGGTAAAATAGACACTTTTGACTATTTAAAAAAATATTCATAACTCATAATTATATTTATCAATTGAGCTCAGTCTAGACTCATCACAAGGGGGAAAAATTCTCCTTTTTATTGAAAAAAAAAATACTTCAATATCATCAACAATTCAATAACATTAACATTTGAAAAAAAGTAAAAAGTGTTCATTTCACCGTATCGTCCCGAATGTTTCAAAAAATCGTCCAAAAAATCGCCGAAAATCAAATAGAATCCCCCGACTTCGTCATTCGATATTCCCCCAACTATTCCCCCCCCAAAATTCCAAATTCCCGGCAGTTCCCCCAGCCCGCCCATATCGATTATTCCCCCTCGAAAAATCCGTCCGTTGTACCAAATCCCGTGCGGCCCTTGATTTCCCGCGGTTTCAGCACGGACCCGGCTGTTGCCCCTTTATACCGGTGCGTGTGCTAGTTGTGGATGGGTAATTCCTTCGCCTCAAGTCGCCTAATATCCCTCATAAAACCGAAATCGAGTCTCCTCCGATTGAATTGGCGATTGCCGAGTAAATCGCCCGCTCCAGTGAACCGGCAGCTAGTTCCAGTGTCCAAAATAACAGCTCTGATCCCGTACATCATGCCGCCAAACAGAGTGCGTGCGTCTAAGGTTAGTTTCCCCAACCGCATGTTCCAAACCGTTCTTCCGAAATAAAAAAAACTTCCCCCATTATTTCTCTCGTTCACACCACAACGATTTTTCCCAAAAACGCCTCTCTTTTATTTCATTTGTTATTCAGGCCGCCTCATCATCATCGAAATCAAAGCCCGAGGTTGAAAACGCCTCGAACGACGAGGGAGACAGCGACGCAGCAGAAATGGCGGTCGACGTGAAGAAGCCAGCGCCAAAAGGGAAGAAAAAGCCAGCAAAGGAGAATGGAATCGAAGAGAAGCCAAAGTCCACCCGAGGTCGCAAGAAGGCAGAGCCCCAGGAGGAGGACGAGGATTTGCCAGAGCCCCCAAAGCCCTCAGCTCGAGGTAGGAAGAAGGCAGCCCCAGTGGAGGAGCCCCCAGAGGACCCAGAGCCCAAGAGAGCCCGAGGGAGGAAGAAAGAGGCCCCAGTGGAGGAGGACCCAGAGGATGTCCCCAAGAAGTCGTCTCGAGGCAGAAAGAAGGCTGAGGCTGAGAACGGAGATCAGGATGAGGAGCCCAAGCCGAGAGGCAGGAAAAAGGCTGGGTCTGTGGAGCCCTCAGCCCCAGAGGAAGGCAAGAGATCCCCCAGGGGACGGAAGAAGGCGTCTGCTAAGGAGTCCTCCGAGGAGCCTGAGGAGGAGCCTGAGAAGCCAGTGAAACGTGGCAGAAAAGCCAAGTTGGACGTTGTTGAGGAGGCAGCAGCTCCTGGGGAGGAGGAGGCTGAGGAGAAGGCCCCAGAGAAGGCCCCGGGGAAGCGGGGAAGGAAGCCGGCAGCTAAGGCCCCTGAGGACGACGAGGAAGAGGAGGAAAAGCCAGCAAAACGAGGACGAAAGGCAGCAAAGCCGAAGGAGCAGAAGGAGAAGGCTACGAAGGCCAAGAGACAGGAGTCTGGGGACGATGACGACGAGCCAGCAGCCAAGAAGTCGAAGACAGATGAGAAGAAGAAGGTGAACAAGGTGGAGACGAACCTGGATGAGGTAGACTTCAGCTGTGAGAAGGCTAATGCCAAGGGGGAGAGGCACAACCTGAAGATCTGCTCGTGGAATGTGGGAGGCATCAGGTCTATCACAGAGAAGAAGGGAGTGGAGTATTGTGTTAAGGAGGATGCTGATATTGTCTTTGTGCAGGAGACCAAGTGCAAGGAGGGGGATTTGCCTGGGGTCTGGGACATTCCAGGGTACAAACGGTACTACGCGGATAGTGAGAAGGCTGGCTATGCTGGGGTCGCTCTGTTCACGAAGGTGGAGCCTATTGAGGTGAAGGTGGGACTGGAGACTTCGCCCTGCAATGACGAGGGGAGGATTATCACAGCTGAGTTCGAGGGGTTCTACGTCGTTGGGGTTTACGTTCCCAATGCTGGGAGGGGGCTGGTGACTCTGGAGAAGAGGCTCCAGTGGAATGAGGCTTTCAAAAAGTACGTGAAGGAGCTGGATGAGAAGAAACCAGTCATCGTTTGTGGGGATATGAACGTGGCTCATGAGGAGATTGATCTTGCTAATCCAAAGACAAATACCAAACATGCTGGCTTCACCAAGGAGGAACGAGAGGGGATGACTGACTTCCTGGGGGCTGGGTTTGTTGATACATTCCGTCAGTTGTATCCTGATCAGGCTGGGGCCTACACCTTCTGGTCGTACATGTCGGACGCCAGGAGCAGAAATGTCGGATGGAGGCTCGATTATTTCATCGTTTCGGAGAGGATCAAGGATAATGTCTGTGACAATGTCATGAGGAACAAGGTCTATGGCAGTGATCATTGTCCTATTGTACTTTTTGCCAATTTGTAAGGGGTGAGGGGCGAAGAGAGTGCAGGAGTTTTTTTATTCTATTACTACTTTATTGATATGGAGATGTTTCTGACTACAGTTTGGAGGATGTCTGTTTAGTTTTGAGTTTTTTGTGGTTTTTTTCGTTTTTGGAGTCTTGAGAGGAGTCTGTAGTGAATGTGTCAGGATGTACTGGCTGGAGCCATGAATTTCTTTGAAAAATATATACGTAATTTTTCAATTTTTTGAATTGTTATTTATTTGCCTTTTTTGGGAGAGATTGATTTATTTCGGAACTTTTGGAGTGAAATGAGGGATTCAGCAGTGGAATGATGAAATGTTTATTGAATTGAGAAGGAAATTGAGGAAAAAATTCTATTGAGAATTTTCTGGGTTCCAATAAGTCCCTTGAAATGCTGTAAAGTTGCTCATATCCGAGATAAATGCGCAGTTATCGATGATGTCGCGTCTGTCTTATCATGTAGATTAAGATGTAAAAGGCTTTATGAATTTTGCTTCATTGCTTCTCAATAGTTTTCTAGATTTATGCAGTTTAAATATATTTTTTTATTGCATTTGAAAAATCGGTTTTCTTTTTGATATTTCATTGCTTAGAAGGATATCTCCAATCTTCAATGATTAAATTAGTTTTTTGATTATTTTCTGCTTATCATTTCGATTTCGATTATTTATTTATCATTAGGGGAGGTTGAGGTAAAATGGACACTTTTAACTTTTTTTAAAATGTTAATGAGGAGTTGAAATGTTGGGTCCATGACTAAAAATTTCATATAAAAACTACTCCGTCAAACAAACCTCGAAAATAACACGTGGCGGATAGGGCGGAGTTGTTTTAACGGTAGTTTTTTAGACGTGCTACCGAAATGTTGATGAAATTTAATTTTTTTTTTCAATACAAAAGACAATCCTTTCCCTTTGTAACGAGCCTGAACAGAGCTCAATTGATAAGTTTATTTCTGAGTTATGAACAATTTAAAAACGTCTAAAGTGTCCATTTTACCCCACCCTCTCTTAATTCCTACTTATTCTAGTTGAATAGAGATGAAAGTAAATTAACAAGGTAATTGACTTCATTACAATGTAGTTGTTGAAAGTTCAACGAACGAATTTAGATTTAATTCAGTATTGAGTTCAGTGAGATGTAAATGACTCTTCGAAATGATAAGAATAGTATCATCTGTGATTGCTGATGGATGGAGAGTTAATTTTGCGAGGTAAAAATGAAAAAATAAAAATCTAGGAATCGTCGAGGAACATAATCCTTGAATATTTTTTTTTCTCTTGCAGAGAATTTTTTTTGGCAAACATCTTTATTACAGCGTTTCCACAAATACAATCTCCCCTGTATTATTCACACACTCATATTTTCAATCATCAACATTTAATTATAAAAAGTAATAATGTATCGAATGAAATCATAATGTTCATATGAAACATCAGTGTGACTTTTATAACTCTTGGATTTTCCGCATTCGTTAATGCAATTAATTATCTACCAACGTTTAAATTTTACTGGAATCATAAGATATTTACATGACAATCGGTGAAACATTTAGAGACGAAGTGGAGTCGTTAAATGAGAAAAGTCAACTCGTCTTAAAGAGGGAAATTTTTCACATATGACAAAATGTCATAGAAAAATTTGGTGAATTTGCTAAACAATTCTGTTGAATTTTCTGAGCTTTTGGCCGATTCTATTGGAATGTTTTCTACAGAAATTCCCCGATTTTATTGAAATATTTCGATTATGGAATATTTCAATTTAGGGGATATTCTTCTGTGTGCAAAAATATTCTTAAGAAATAAAGAGAATATTTCAGTACAAACGAAAAAAATTCATAGAAAAACTCAACGAATTTGATACAAAATTTCATTGGATTTGTATTAAGAATTCTGTCAATTGTTGGACGATTTTCTGGAAGAATTCTGCAGCTTTATTGCACGTTTTTTCCTGTAAAAAATGTCAAGTGGAAGCTATTCTATTTTTTCTATTGAGAAATTTTCTGCAGGAATTCTTCGTCGTGAATTTTATAATTTTGTCCCCATCTCTTCGTCTTTTCTTTTCATTGAAAGAAAATCAAATTAAAAAACTTGGAAAATCGCAGTGAAGGATTTTTAATAGAAAATATATCAATAGAATTATTTGTACAGAAAAATAAGATTCTACTTATTTTTTCTATAGAATAAGCTGTGGAGTTTTTCAACAGAATCAGCTAAAAGCTACTAGAACGTTCAACAGAAATCCAATAAAATTATCTAGCGAATTCCCCAAGGTTTTCCGAGACATACAAACGATCCTAGAGCAATTTTTTGAACGTTCAATTCACGTTTCGTCTCTCCCAGAAAATTACCTCAAAGTGCAATTAATTTTTCTCATTTTACCCCTCACCCCCTGCCTTCGATAAATACCACAACGAAATTATTGAAATTATGAATTAAATTCATAATCCTCATTTCATTTAATCCTCTCCAGCTGGGATGGCGTCCTCCAGCCTCTTGATGAACTTGACCCTGAGCTCAGTTATACTGTCGTTCTTCAGCTGGTCCTGGACGAACCATGAGGAGACCTCCATCTGCACCATCTCACAGGCGCCCCTCAGCACTCCAGTAAGAATATTACAGTATTTGAGATTCAGACAATTGTCAGGTAGTTCAACGAACTCCGTCAGGGGATTCGACTCGAAGCAGAGGGAGAATTCATCGCCAGCTGCACTCCAGTTCGTGATGGTCGGAGTTATCCCCAGGAATATCTTGAAGCCGGACTGAATCTTCTCAGCAGTGTCACGAAAGTCATAACAACGTCCTGACCCTGTCCTCGCCAGGAAGTCTTCGATGAGACGAATCCCCATGTTGTAGCCCATTCTCTCCAGCTGTTTGTTGACATCGTCGACGTTCTCGTAGTCCTTCAGGAGTTGGGCCACCAGGGCTCCATAAGTTAATGTGAATAATTCTGAGTTCTGAAATGATTAGGGGAGATGATTGAAATCAAGAATTCACGGACGAAAAAATTTAATAGAAAAACCTATCGAATTCGTTAGAAAATTCTATTGAATTTCTATTAAACTTTCTATTAGTTTTTGCCTGATTCTATTGACATGTTCAATAGAAAACATTCAATAGAAAAAGTCAACAGAATTCGATTTTTCTATATAACTTATTCTTTTCATATATTTTCTATAGAATTTGCTCGACTCAAATTTTCCAAGTTTTTTTCACTCTACTTTTATTTTTTTCTCACCAAGAAAATCAAACGAAAAAACTTGGAAAATTTGAGCCGAGGAAATTCTATAGAAAATATATGAAAAGAATAAGTTATATAGAAAAATCGAATTCTGTTGACTTTTTCTATTGAATGTTTTCTATTGAACATTTCAATAGAATCGGCCAAAAACTAATAGAACAGTTTAATAGAAATTCAATAGAATTTTCTAACGAATTCGATAGGTTTTTCTATTAAATTTTTTCGTCCGTGATTTCTTCAATTTTGGCTTTCGGATGGAATTTGGCTTTGTAATCGCTCAAATCTGAGTTTACAATTTTTGCGTTTGGATAACTAAATATGGCTTCAAAGTCTGAATATGTGATTTTTACATGGTGTCTATATGTATGTGATCTCTTTGCTTCCGAATGGAAGCTTTGTAATCGGTCCATTTTTTGATTCTCTAATTTTGCTTGGAAATGACTTAGAATGTCATGAAACGTCGAGATATGATGTTTCTAGAGAATGTGTGTACGTCCGTATGCGCGTACAAAATTATGGGAATTTTTTAATAAATTTTCACAGAAAAACACGTATGCAAAAATTCAATGGAAAATCTAGCGAATTCGCTAGAAAATTCTATTTGTTTTTCGCGCTGATTCTACTAGATATTTGATAAGAACAAGTTAATCGATTTCGAATTTTTGTTGGAATTTTTCTCTGTAGATTTTCTCTACTAGAAATTATTGGGCACAAATTTTTTCCACTGGATTTTGTGTTATTTTGTATTACAGAATCCAAGTGGAAAAAACTTGGAAAATTGATGGCCAAGCATTCTTATAGAAAAAATCTCATGAGAAAATTATAAACAGAAATTCGAAATCTATTGACTTTTTTATCGAATAACCAATAGAATCCGCACAAAGAATAAATATTTTTCAATAGAATTCCGATAGAAATCCTATAGAATTCCTATAGATTTTCAATAGAATTTTCTAGCGAATTCACTAGGTTTTCTCTTAAATTTTTTTGTGTGTTAGTCCTTCACACACAAAAAAATTCAATAGAAGTGATAGAAGTGATTGATGAAAATTTGAAATTTTAGCTCATAATTGGTATTGTTTGGGCGCACATCTGGGCGATGATTCATTCGTGGTTGATAATGCACGTTTGACAAAGTTTGATAAAAAACTGGCGTTTACACTTCTTCTTTTCCGATTGACATTGATTCTTTCGGATAGGGGAGGATGGAACAATCTGCACGTTTTTTTCTGTTTTTTCTTTTAATTAAACGTATCAAATTTATCAATCGAGCTCAGTCAAAGCTCATTGCAAAGAGAAGAAAATATAAGAAAAAAATATGATTTGATAGAAAAATAAATGAGTCATCAACATAAAGATACAACAAAAAACTGTTTATTTTGCTCCACTTTCCCCAAAATTTTATGATCTATTCCCTTCAGATTTTAACAACAAAAAATTCTTGTCCCTCAATTTTTCAAGTTCTCCCTGAATTTCTTTTATTTTTGATTGAAAAATCGAAAACCAAAATTTAGAAAATTTAGAAAAAATCGCAGGGGAATGAAATGTACAGAAAAATCAACATGCGTTTATTCATTTTTATCAAATATTTATAATGTATCGTCAAACCGAATAATTTGCAAGAGAAGCCGGAAAAAAACAAAAAGGAGATATGATAGAGTTGTAGTAGACTTCGGAGAGTTCCCCCTGAATATCAATCGAGAGTCAATTTAATTTTCTAGGGAATGATGAGGAGTGTCTGATAATTTACCACTTTTTTAGAATCAAGTCTCGTTCCTGGTCGTGACATTTCTAGTTCAATTTTTGTTGATAATAATTGGGGTTGATGGCACCTGTCAGTGGACACAGGAGGTGGAGATCACTGGATTGTAGAAATACTAAAAATAGATGAAAAAGTAAGGTTAGGGTACAAAAAGGAGGTTTTCCACTTGTGGGAATGGGGATTTCCTAACGTGACAACTGAGCATTCTTGTTGGCAGGTAAATTATCGACAATTTCGTGGAAATTCAAAAATTAATAATTCATGATAAAAATTTTATTGACACAGTTATATTAGAAAAATCAATTGATTTATTCATAATCTCTACATAATTGATGTAATTGTTCTATAATGAAACGTATAAACATTTTAAGATTTAGATTTAGAATTTCCATACTTAGATTTATCATTTCGAACAGAATGAAATGTCAACATAACTTGATATTTGAACACAGGGAACTCAGAGAAATGATTAAAGTTTAAAAAATAACTCGTACCAACAAATTTTATAGAAAAACCTAGCGAATTCGCCAGAAAATTCTATTGGATTTCTATTGAACTCTCTATCACTTTTTGTTCAATTCTGTTGAAAAATTCCGCAGCTTATCTGCGTATTTCTTTTTTTAAAAATAAAAAAATCTGTATTGAAAGATGAAACCCTGATATTTTCTAAAAAAACAATTTTTATTGAACATTTTCTATTTGAAAAAACGCGCAATGAAGCTGCGGAATTCTGCAATAGAATCGGCTGAAATCTAATAGAAATTCAATAGAATTTTCTGTCGATTTCGGCAGGGATTTCTAGAAATTTTTTTCATGTGTGAGATGAACAATAGAATGAGCAAATGAGGACGGCAGACATTATGGAGAAAAATATTTCGATAGATTTCGTCATTTGGTGGCTTTGATCCAGTCAATTTCCAAAGCAGCTACACCTGGTTGATTCTCAGGTAAGTACGGGCCCATGTCCACTTTGAGAGCGATATTCGTTATTGAAGATGTATCCAGGGGATTTTCCTCCAGGGGCCTCTCTTGCCCTCTGTAGTACGGCCTGAATTCTGCGAGGGGTAGTTTTATGGTTGCGAATTCGTTTTCAGGTGCCTGGAAATGTAGCGCAATTAGTAGGACAAAATGAACCGGAAAATGCGCTGTAATTTTTGCTAAATCAGTTATTTAAAAATAGCTTTCATTATGAAAAATTTTCATAAAAATCCTTTTTTTTAATTTTTTATTTTTGTGTTGACATCATGCATTTTCTTTTCAACGAAAGTTGTCATTTTCACTTGAAATAACTCGATAACTGTCAAGTCGAAACAGATTAATAATTATTTGGAAAATCATTGCGGACAATTTCGATAAGAACATTTCACAGAATTGGATTCTGTAGAAAATTGTCTAGAGAAGATCTGCGGTAAAAAAATAATTGAATTAGTGGAAGTCCCCAGTGAAAATGCTAGACTTCTCTCTTGATTTTCGCAGCGTGTGTACTTTACTTGTCAGATAATTCACTACAAAGAAAACGCTTCGACGCAGGAGTATCTCTCGAAGAAGTCGAAAATAAATCGTTACAAAGTAAATCTTGAAGATGCAATTAAATGAAACAAAGAAATTTACCGCTGAACCAGAATTAGTTTCTGTTATTTGTATGAGAGGAATAGAGAGAGAGGAAACCACGCACGAAAAAATTTAATAGAAAAACCTATCGAATTCGTTAGAAAATTCCATTGAATTTCTATTAGACTTTCTATTAGTTTTTGGCTGATTCTATTGACATGTTCAATAGAAAAAATTCAACAGAAAAAGTTAACAGAATTCGATTTTTCTATATAACTTACTCTTTTCATATATTTTCTACAGATAATGCTCGATTCAAATTTTCTAACATAAGTATTTTTCATTCTATTTTTCTTTTCTTCTCATCGAGAAAATCAAATGAAAAAACTTAGAAAATTTGAACCGAGAAAATTCTATAGAAAATATCTCAATAGAATAAGTTATATAGAAAAATTGAATTCTATTGACTTTTTCTACTGAATATTTTCTATTGAACATTTCAACAGAATCGGCAAAAACTAATAGAACAGTTCAAGAGAAATTCAATAGAATTTTCTAACGAATTCGATAGGTTTTTCTATTAAATTTTTTCGTCCCTGACAAAAGGAAACACTACGAGTGATTTTTTTTCTCGAGAAATTGCATAGACTGTTGGAAAAAAACTGAAATTTCATGGACAGTCGACTAGCAATTTTCAGGAGAGTGACATTAAGGATATCCAAGTACTTTGGCTATTTTTTTCCTGTGAAATGCTTCTCTACTTTTTCCGTCGAACATCAGAGCTTTCATTTGAGCCCAATTTGACCCTAAGTTTCTGGACATTGCACAATGATTCTAGGGGAGGCTGGGATAAAATAGACACTGGACTTTTTTATAATTACTCATAACACAGAAACAAATTTATGAATTGAGTTCAGTTTAGGCTCGTTACAAAGGGAAAGAAATGTTCTTTCCATTGAAAGAAAAAGTTATTGAATTTCATCAACATTTCAAACTCTCATTATCATTTTAAAAAAAGTTAAAAGTGTCCATTTTACCCCAACCTCCCCTACTATTCAAACTTTGCAGGTCTGAATTTGAATCTCGCTATTCAACCGGTAGAAAACTTTTCGAAAATGTGAAAAATATTAGAATGTTTACTTGTGGAGGAAGATTGACGACATAATTTAAAAATTGTAATTTTTCAAAATTGCCAGGATTTTCTATGAATAATTTATAAACAATCAATTGTCCAATGTATTTTTCAAATACATCTGATTTGAATACAATCTGATTTGAAATGAGCCGACAAAATGAAGAGCTGCGGCGAAATATTCCAGGTAAAAAAAATGACGAGCTACTGCGAAATATTCAAAAGCTACGAGGAAATATCCGGATTAAAATTGTCGGGTAGCCTCAAATACTGCGCTCTGATTGGCCGAAATCCGATTGGGAGAAATAATCAAGGTTGATCCCTATCGTTACTGTACAACAAAACTTCCGGGGAATATCAGATTATTTTCAAGGTCTTGGGGTATTATAGCTGAAAATTCAATGAAATTCGAAACTTTTTAACTGGATTTAGATGAGACTCCCCTCAACCTATTTGAATTTTAAATGAAATCGTGAATATTCAGAGCCGAATTACTATGAATTTTCAATAAATAGCGGAAGGCAGGGCAAAACGGACCGCAGGGCAAAACGGACCACTGACAGAAAATTGGTAACTTTTGTTTTTTTCCCTTTAAATCGGGAACACTGAAAGCGTTGAATTAAAAGTGAGTTTCTTGGATCGTAACCGTAACGGGGGTTTTATAGACAAGAAGTGTCGTTGAACCGCAATTTGATCAGACTTGCTAATCACCTCAAACCACAAATGACTTTGAATTTTTGTTTTTGCTTCCGAATAGAAGCAAAAAAATTTCTTTGAATTTTTGTTTTTTCTTCCGAATGGAGACAAAAAAATTATCAATATTCTGTCAGTGGTCCGTTTTGGCCTACCCTGTCCTAGAAAATTCAAGAATATATTTACTGGAATTTTCCTCATTTCTATTCATTTTCAGGCAATAATTGAACTGAAATTGACAATTCTCATTGATTTGCCCCAGAAATTCTGAATTTTCTGGAACTAAAATGTGATAAAAATTTCCTACAATTGCACCGCAGTTTTCAACCAAAAATTTTTAATTTATTTTTAATTTTTTTTTTTTAATTTTTAATTTTTAATTTAAAATTTTTTTTTGTACTACCGTAAATACTTGGCCATAAACAACAGCATTCTTGTCCAGTCCCTTGTGCCTGAGCAACATCTTGTATTTCCAATTAGTTCCCTGTCCCCGGCACTTAATAGTTATGTAATTAGACCCGGAAAGATCGAAATTGGTATCACATCTGACTGCGGCATATCCCGTCCTATTCGGCCTTGGATTGAACAGAGTGAAGAATATTGCCCTTTGAACCAATTGCGTCTTCTGCATAACCAGCGCTGCTTTGGACATTCCAGTCGTTTTGACCGTGTCCGAGCATTCCGTCCAGCTTCCTAATTGATCCGTTCGCGTGAAATCGAACAGAGTTTGAGAAGTTCTGAAATTGGAGAAAAACTATTCAATCAATTTTAATCAATTTTCAATTTGTTTGCGAGTGATTAGTTTGCGAGAGAATGGAAATTCAATCAACGAAGACATGTGGAGTGAAGTGACAATCGTTTTTTAGAGAGGAATGAGTATTTCTTTTTGCATGAAAGGGCACGTTTGTGAGATACCAATGAAAAAAATCAAATTGAAGTTCTGATTCAGTTTTTTTATGTAAAAAAGTAATTCTTTTGAGGTTTCTTACACAAATATGCTTGTGGATCACTTTTTGAATCATTTCCGTTGTATTTTTTCCATTTTTCATTACAAAATTGAAGCAAATAAAAGAGAAAATGCCTGCCAAAGGATTTTTATTGAAAAAAAAATTGTAAAAGAATATGAAAGAATTAACTTCTACCGATTTTTTAATTATTGTTATTAAAAATTGGATCATTTGAAAACTTTGCGCGCAAGAATTCTTACAGAAAAAATTGCAACAGAATAATTTTCAGTGGAGAACAGAAAAAAAACAGATAGAATTTTCGATTACAAATTCTAGAATTTATGAATTTAAAGTGTCAAGTCGAAATTTTCTATCGAAAAGTGACAGATATTCATGAGATGAAAAATGAATTGTTACTTGATGTCAGTGAAATCTATTGGGAATTATCTAAGGAAAGATCAGTCAATTGAAAATGTTGAATGAATTCTTGGAGATATTAGATAATTCGGAAAAATCAAACCAAATTGTGATTTCATTTGACTTGAAGGAGACGTTGATACTTCGCTTTATCCAGTTAAAGCACTATCACAAGTCTCAATTCACATTTCGAGGAGTAAAAACCATTCTAAAACTCCCATTCAGTGCTCTTCAAGACTAATAAAAAACAAATAGCATCAGTTTCATCCCGAAAAGCTAGAATTTTCTTTGAATTTCCTCTCCTCAATCTTTGAAACCGAATTTTTGATGCATTTCTCTTTGTCTCAGTGAGCCTTTTCTGTCATTGGAATTCTCAAAGATAAAATCGCAAAAGAATAATTTTCAGTAAAAAAACAACAAGAAAAAGAATTTTAATTACAATTTTAGATTAAAAATTCTAAAATTTCTGAATAGAGTTTCTAATCGGAATTTTGTATCGAATGCGTTAACTCTTCATTCAATTTTTCTCATGCGTAAAAGTGACAGATATTCATGAGATGGAAAATGAATTGTTGCTTGATGTCAGTGAAATCTATTGGGAATGATCTAAGGAAAGATCAGTCAATTGAAAATGTTGAATGAATTCTTGGAGATATTAGATAATTCGGAAAAATCAAACCAAATTGTGATTTCATTTGACTTGAAGGAGACGTTGATACTTCGCTTTATCCAGTTAAAGCACTATCACAAGTCTCAATTCACATTTCGAGGACTAAAAACCATTCTAAAACTCCCATTCAATGCTCTTCAAGACTAATAAAAAACAAATAGCATCAGTTTCATCCCGAAAAGTTAGAATTTTCTTTGAATTTCCTCTCCTCAATCTTTGCAACCGATTTTTTGATGCATTTCTCTTTGTCTCAGTGAGCCTTTTCTGTCATTGGAATTCTCAAAGATAAAATCGCAAAAGAATAATTTTCAGTAAAAAAACCACAAGAAAAAGAATTTTAATTACAATTTTAAATTAAAAATTCTAAAATTTCTGAATAGAGTTTCTAATCGGAATTTATTATCGAATGCGTTAACTCTTTATTCAATTTTTCTCATGCGTAAAAGTGACAGATATTCATGAGATGGAAAATGAATTGTTGCTTGATGTCAGTGAAATCTATTGGGAATGATCTAAGGAAAGATCAGTCAATTGAAAATGTTGAATGAATTCTTGGAGATATTAGATAATTCGGAAAAATCAAACCAAATTGTGATTTCATTTGACTTGAAGGAGACGTTGATACTTCGCTTTATCCAGTTAAAGCACTATCACAAGTCTCAATTCACATTTCGAGGACTAAAAACCATTCTAAAACTCCCATTCAATGCTCCTCAAGACTAATAAAAAACAAATAGCATCAGTTTCATCCCGAAAAGCTTGAATTTTCTTTGAATTTCCTCTCCTCAATCTTTGCAACCGATTTTTTGATGCATTTCTCTTTGTCTCACTGAACCCTTTCCGTCATTCAAGTCAAGGTATCCTTTTACCTCGAGAACTGAACAAATAATACATTCGCGAGATGGAAAAATCTCATTCAGACTCCAATACAATAGAACGTCAGCATAAAAATCTTGAAAGCTAGGAACTGTTTACGTAGCCATGAAATAAATAAGAAAGCTTTTTCCAAATATTCTCCATACTTTCGGCGACGAATTTTCTCAATTCTCCAAGAATCCATTAATATTATTTCTTCACCTGTTCATTCTCACAAATTCCCAAAAATCATGGAAAACAATAAGTGAATTTGTTCTGTAGTTTTTGATACTTTACTTGATCACTTCCGTCATCAGAAATAATCAGCCTCTGAAGGGACAAACTCACCCATTCGCTGAAGCTACCATACCTCACTGAGACTGAATAAAACTGAATAACTTCTTACCTCGTGACATTCCTCCAATCGATCGTTGCAGATTATTTTCTTCTTTCTTAGACATTTCAAGGATGTATCGTAAATACAGAAGGGGTACCATGGTACCAAGAGGTAGAGATTTCAAAAGTCTACTCGCGTGTCACCCTGTACTTACGCGGTGTAACCGAGAAACCTGTTTCTATTTTTATCGTATTCCCTAACTCAATGGATTCAATAAAAATTGATGAGGGCAGCTTTCGATTTCTTCCGCTGATTTTTATGGCATTTGGAAATTGGTGAAGGATTTTCTTCATATGTGTAATAATTTTCGATTATTGAAGGAGAGGGAGGGGAAATATCGCATCTTGAGTTCAAAAATGTGAAGGATAGAGAGCGATTTATTGATTCTTTAAAATGCAAAAATCCCCTGAGGGAATATCTAAATAGAGAATTTAAGTTACAAGTTATATTCACACGCATGAAAAAAACAAGTGGATAATTGGATTTTTTAAATAATTGAGTATTCTCTAACTCAATGGATTCAATAAAAATTGATGAGGACAGCTTTCGATTTTTTCTCTGATTTTTATTACATTTGGAAATTGGTGAAGGATTTTCTTCATATGTGTAATAATTTTCGATTATTGAAGGAGAGGGAGGGGAAATATCGCATCTTGAGTTCAAAAATGTGAAGGATAGAGAGCGATTTATTGATTCTTTAAAATGCAAAAATCCCCTGAGGGAATATCTAAATAGAGAATTTAAGTTACAAGTTATATTCACACGCATGAAAAAAACAAGTGGATAATTGGATTTTTTAAATAATTGAGTATTCTCTAACTCAATGGATTCAATAAAAATTGATGAGGACAGCTTTCGATTTTTTCTCTGATTTTTATTACATTTGGAAATTTGTGAAGGATTTTCTTCATATGTGTAATCATTTTCGATTATTGATGGAGAGGGAGGGGAAATATCGCATGTTGAGTTAAAAAATGTGAAGGATAGAGAGCGATTTATTGATTCTTTAAAATGCAAAAATCCCCTGAGGGAATATGTAAATAGAGAATTTGAGTTACACATTATATTCACACGCACGCAGAAAATAAGTGGATAATTTTTTCCATTTTTTTTAATAATAATGAGTGTAGTTATTGTTGCTAATAAGTTAGCAATTTGCTTTGGAATGGGTTCTCTTTTTTAATTCTTATTTTACTATTCTCTTCTTCTATTTTTTCATTTTATAGTGCTATCATCAGGTAAAATGTCATCAAAATTTTGCGTATTATTTTATTCTGTCAAATGATTCTATAGTGAGACCATCTCAAGACTCGAATTCGTTTTGAGTCCGGGGTTAATCAAGGTTTAATCAGTATCTAGCTGGGATTTAATCAGAGTTTTTTCAGGATTCAGCTAGAGTTTAACCCAGGTTCTGTCAGAAGTTAGGGTATTGTTTTATCAATTTTTTGAGCCATGACTCGAAATGAGTCAATCGAGCCATGACTCGAGCCATGATCGATTTTGTAAAAATATCAATTTTATCGAATCTGCATGAAAAATTGAATTTTAATTGGTGTCAACGAATTTTTAAAGTATTCATGGAAAAATTCATGAAATTCGATTGATCCCTTTTAAGAAAAATGAAGAAAAAAAAATGAAGAAAAAGACTGTATACATACATATAGACACCATCTCAAAATCACTAATTTGGGCTTTTTAGGGCGTATTCACTTACCTTAATCCACAAATTGGAAAATTAAATTTGAGCGATTGCAAAGCTAATGAGAAAAAAATAGAATTTACTATTAGAAAATTCTGTGAGTGTTCCATCGATTTTATTGAAAAATTCCGCAGTTCATCTGCGCGCTTTTTCTTTTTCAACAGGAAACATTTTATTTTAGAAAAGCAGAACTTTTTTTATATATAATTTATTACATTGGGATATTTTCAGTAGAAATTTCCCGGTTCCAATTTTTCAAGTTTTTTTTGTATGTTTTTTTTACTGACAGGGGAAAGAAAATAAAGTCAGAAAAAACAACAAATACATATCGAGATCAAATTCTACTGTTTTTTTTTTTTAATACAAAAGCGCAACAAAGCTGTAGAATAGAATTTATATTAGAATAGAATTGTTTCATGCGTAAATTCCTGATCAATTGCACATAATTTCTTCATTCATTAATAATTCCTTTATTCGTTTATTTGTTTACAGGGAGAAGCTTATTTCGCTCCCATTATTGATTCCCTTTCAATCATCCATAGTGTTTCATTTTCCTTATAACAAGTAATTTAATGAGTAATTACCAGTATATTTAAACAATAGAGTACATAATTCCAAAGCTCCTCTCATATTTTCGTGTTGACGTTGTGTTTTTCTATTTCTAAAATTTCATTCTTTGTCCAACGAACAATAGAAAGAAATAATCTGGAACAGACAAAAGAATTCGAAACACAGGAGGAGCGTTAGATAGAAAAATAATGGTGTATCCTTGTGCATCTACGTGGTTGCAACAATTGTCTCGACTTCGAGTGCTGACACTCCCTTCTGTTTAAATGCCGAGTAAACACCCCCGTAAACTTGGAGGCCAAACATTGTTATCCTCGCTGTATCCAGAGGCTCTCCGTCTGGTTTTTGACGCCCCCGGAAGTATGGTTTGAATTCAACGAGGGGAAGAGTTATCGTTGAGAATTCCTCGGTCGATAGTGGCACCTGATCAAATGATGATTTCTCATTAATCAGCAGTTCAATAATGAATTAGTTAGTCATACCTAAGACCCTTATCTTATCTTCGCTATCAAACATCGGATTATGTTCATGTGAATGAATATTCATTCATTCATGAAAAACAAAATGTTGAAAATAATTTTTTTTTCATTAATCTGAATTAAGGCGCGGGTGTACTATCTTTCGAATGTTATCTCGATATTTTCTTTCATCTTTCGTCATCTGAAATTGTCAATTAAGTCCTGCATCATGGAGAAGTTTTGGAAAATTATGAATGAATAATAAAAAAAAGGAAAAAATTCTTAATTTTTTCAAAGAACATTTTTAATTTATATTCAGAATAAGTTGAATAACAAGAAATTGAAAAATGTATCTGATTTACACTGACAAGTGGCGGCCTGTCACCCAATATCATGCAGGGGGAAGACTGATTTCGTAAATCTTTTCCCACACTGCACAGAGACATTTATTACGGAAAAGGCTCTTTGAAAAAAGTTGCAATATTTTGGAGAATTTTTTAATCACACTTTTATCACATAAAAATGGCAGATAACTACATACCACTATTTTGAAAATTGAGATACCTAGCTGTCACTTCCCATGAGGAGTTAGTATTTTATTATCTACCATGGAAACTGACAGCTAATACATAATTTGCCGCAGCGAATCAGATATTTGTAATTTCCACTTTTTTCAACTCATTCTGAATCTCAATTAAAAACGTTCTTTGAAAAAGTTCAGAATTTTTTATATTTTTTTTGTCATTCTATCATAATTTTTGGGAATTTTTACATTTTTTGGGTACATCTCTGAATCAATTCAGATGAGTTTAAAAAACTTACTAAAAAATCATTATTATTTACGATAAAAGGAGACGTCATCGTCAAATTACAAGATTTCTAATTAATTATTAATCCAGTCATGAAGAGTGCAGTAAAGAGTAATGAGTAAATGAATATGAAAATAGTATATTTCAGCACGTGTGGGGCAATTTCGTCTTTATCGTGTGTGGGGTTTACAGCATGAGCCGAAGGCGAGTGATGTAACCACACACGTTATGGACGAAATTTCCTAAGTACTGAACAAAATTTTATGTCACGAAGCCTGAAACCGGCTGAATTAGACACGAGACGCGAAGCGTCGAGTGTGTAATCCAGTCGGTTTCAGGCATGAGTGGCATAAAAAATTTGTCATCACGCTGTGCGAAAAAGTAACTTTTTAGGCAAGCTTCGCGTGCCTAAAACGTCCCTTTTCCACACATTGTGATGAAAAATATCGTTCGATACTCGTGGGAAAAGTGTTTTTTGGCTCGTGGGAGGTTTATAGCACGAGCCGAAGGCGAGTGATATAATCCCACTCGCCAAAAAACACTTTTCCGCACTCGTATGGAAATATACTATTTTGATTAATTAAAAATGAATGTAAATTAATTTGAATAAGAATGAAGTAAAATGAAAATGATTATCGACAAATCAATTGACTTTCTAAATTAATTAGGAGTAATTTTTAAAATAGTTAGGAAGAATGGATTGTTTCTGAAACACATTTATCTACCGTAAAAAATTGTTCGTAAGAGATCTCATTATTAGCGCTGAGTCCTTTATGCCTCAACACGACTTTATAATGGTCATTGGCACCCTGTCCTCGACACTTGATCTCGATATTACGATATTCCGTCAAATTCCAGACCGTTGGAACTCTCACACCAGCAAAGCCAGCTCCATTTGGTTGTGGATTCAAAAGTGTAAAGAAAACAGCTCTTTGAAATACTTGAGTCTTTTGAAGTGTTAGCGCAGCCTTCGACATTCCCACTGTCCTCACTGTATCCGATATCTCACTCCACTGGTCCACGTTATCCGCTCTTGTGAAATCAAATAGCGTTATGTTTTGCCTGTTTCAGAAAGAACAAAAGGGAAATAAAAAATTTTGGATGAACTTGTGGATAATGGAGAACCGGGGGTTTGGTGAATCGTCTTGTCAGTGTGGATTTTCTAGGCCAGAAAGTTTGAAAGAAGAATTCGAAGAGTGAGAAAATTTTTCTCCATTGAAGAACAAGTTTTATTGTTTGAGAATTTGATGAGGTTTGGACTATGAGCGGTGCAATCGAAAAAGCGGGGAAAATTAATGAAGAAAAAAAATCACGAGTGAGAAAGATCATTAGAAAATTGAATTAAATTGATTGATTAACTTTAGTGGAAAATTATTGGTTTCTTACCGATTTCATTTGAAAACTCCGCGGTGTTTCCACATTTGAGAAAGTTCAATGAAAAAATAGTCAGTAGAAAAAAATCAATCATGGAAAAAAAAAACCCGAACTGAGGGGTCACAAGGGTCAAAATAAGGGTGGTAAGGGTCAGAATAAGGGTCATGAGGGTCAAAATGAGGGCCATAAGAGTTGGCGAGCGGAATGAGCAGGGGGCGTAGCCCCCTAGTAAAATATACTCATTCAAGTATTTTTTTTCCGCGATAGTTTTGTGCCTTTCTGTGCACATTTGAGCTGTCAATAGTAGGGTAAGCTACCCAGTAGATGGACACTGCCCTATAGATGGACGATTTACTTTTGGATAGGGAATTACGCAAAAAAATACTGAAATGTGAATTGTTGCTTTGAATTTTCACTAACTGTCGTGATTCTTAACCACTGAGTGACGATTTTTTTTTGATCGTTTTTTTTTCAACTGCTAAAAAATCCGTCCATCTACTGGGGGCCTATTCTCGAAATATTTCCGTGCGCGGAATCGACTCCGTTGACGGAACGCCTATATGATTCCTATACGCAATTCGTCTACGAAGCCACTTCCGTGCACGGCAATATTTCGAGAATAGCCCCCCTGGGCGGTTTTCTTAGGCGTCCAGCGAAGGGTCGTAAGGGTCAAATCCGTGTAATATTACAGAAATTTAATATTGATGGGGATTCCTGTCATGGAGTAGGACATACACGCGCAGAGCGCGCTGACTAATCTAGTAGATTAACCCTAGTCTGGTCACCTGACGGGAAAATGCGACTTTAGTCACATTCGCGGGAGAGTGCCGCCGTGTTATTTAGGCTCCAGCGTTGCCGAATCCACTCTACACTTCCCGGGCGCGTTTCGCGAGTTCCCAGCAACGTCGCGCAACAGGCAATTTCATTTAACACGGGAAAAAATTGTTCACCTGTTGGAAATCATTTTTTTTCTCCCAGAATTAAGGATACAATATTGAAAAAAAAATACTAGAATTTTCCAGATACTTCAATTGACGAATTCAATTTTTCTCAAATTTTTCCGGTCAACCAGTCGATGGCAAGGTGAATAAAACGACGTGTTGCGGCAATTCCCTCGCATGGTGACCAGCCTAGGGTTAAAAATAAGGAAAAGGAGAGAACGAAACGAGAGACATTTTCTCGGAGTCGTGAAAGAGGGGTCAAAACTATATGCCTTTCGAGACTGAGGCAGTACTGAAAATTTCTATGTGGTTTTAGAGCGAAACGATCCCTCAAAGTACAGTCTCGTTTGAGTTTCGTGCGCACCCCTATAGAAGGGACCAAAAGTTTCGGTACTTCGGATAATGCAGCGGATTTGGAAATTTTAATGCGAGGATTGTCTAGACGACAAAATATGGAGACTCACGCTGATGTAGATTGAGCCAGGACTGTCATCATCATGGAAGTCGCCAAGATTTTCGAAATTCTCATTTTTGATTGATGGAGGAGCAGTGCAACCATCGCAGGGACCCTCTCCCTAATGAGATCAGCAGGTGAGAGATCCTAGCCTAGAGCTGGTCAATAAACTAAAAGTTGAGAAAATCTTTCCGCCGTTCGATGTAAAAGTCTTATTCGGTTTTGGTAGACAATGCGTACCCCTGCCAGATACCCTCCTACACGGAGAGAAATATTCAATAAAAATTACCAGAAAAAAGACCTAAAAATTAAGTTTCGAAACGTAATCTGGGGGCGAAGTAAAATTCAATAAAAAGTGTCAATCGTCACGTAAATTCTACGATCTGTTCCGTAAAAATTACTCATCCGTCCGACGCCTCACGGCTAGCCAAGAGTCACCGTGAGGGGGAGATTTTGACACGTTCCGTAATTTTTCTGGAACTTTTCGTAAAAATTCTTAAACATCCAAGAATTTTCATGTTCTGAGGCATAATAAGTCTTGAAGTTTCTGTTAGATTTTACAACTTCCAGAAAAATTACGTGACTTTTTCGTATTTTTTCGGTGACAGACCCGAAATCTTACTGAACGTTTCAGATTTATTCTCTTATATTCCTATAGAAATTCACTGAAAACGATTCTCGCTTGCGGATTACGTGAAATGTTTCGTAATTTTTCTTGAATATTTCTCTCCGTGCACGTTTGAAATCAATCGCGCTAAACCGCGTCACGCGTAGAGATGCAAATGTGTCACACGACCCGTCATTGACGGTTCCATGACAAGGCGTTCATGACGGCTGTCACAATTCCCTCACCCCCTTCTGTGACCGTCACAACTTGTCAAGAAAAAATGACAGTCATTTTTCATCTATATAGATGAAACTTTATTTTTTTCTCGGTCAATTTTCAGTTGAATTCCTTTTGTATTGGCCTAATCCGCATTTTGAAATGGAAATGACGTTTTTTTTCCATCCATATAGATGACACTATTTTTTTTTATTCATGACCGTCACAAATTCAAAATTAGTTATGACCGTCATTATGCAACTATATAGATGGTTTGACAACAATTTGGTTACAAATGATTTGTGACAATCGTTTGTAATTGGAAAATTTGTGCGTCACATGACCGTCATTTTTTAGATGGCGTCATATGACCAAAAAATGACGGTCATTTTGCATCTCACGCGTGTGTGATTCAATTCCTCCGTTCCGCTCGTCCAAAAATCACAGGAGGTGTCACGTGCTTCAATATGGCGGTTTCGCATCATAACAGTGAGTGACTGTGACTGATCGTGGATTCAAGTGCGGATTATTTTGTCGATTACTCACGGATTTTTCAATCGGATTATGGCACTCGACGGGGAGAGAGTTTGTTTCAATAGTCCTGCCGGATTTTGCTCCGACTGCGGATCGATTCTGCCACTGCTCGGTGACAAAGGGGCTGTGAAATGCTACGCGTGTGGAAGAAGTTGGGGACCTGAGGGTGAGCATTCTGCATTGCATTTGGTTCAATTCCATTCGGAAAAACAATAATTATGAATTAATAAATGAGGGTCTAGTGAATTATTTTCATCTTTTTTTTTGTCGATTTGCATTGTTAAAAAATGCTGGATAAAGTTGATGTAGGGAGGGGTGGGGTAAAAAGGGCTCCTGATTTTTTTTAAATGTTAATGACTCAGTGAATTGCTGTTGATGAAATGGGCTTTTTTGCTTTCGAATGGAAGCTTTGTAGGGGAGATTGGGGTAAAATGGACACTTTAGACTTTTTTAAAATTGTTCGTAACTCAACAAAAAATTTATCAATTGTTCTTTGTATTGAAAAAGAACTTATTAAATTTTATCAACATTTCAACCCCTCATTAACATTTTTAAAAAAGTCAAAAGTGTCGGTTTTACCCCAACCTCCCCTAATTGTTGATTTTGACGATCTTCTAATTTCGCCTGAAAATGACGTAGAATATCATGAAATGTGAAGATATGATGTTTTTAGAAAATGTGTGTATGTATGATCACATGTGTGTGCGAATTTTTCGGAAAATTTTTATAAATCTTCACAGGAAAAGGACTAAAGTTGAAGCTAAAAATCTGAAATTTCGTCACATAATTGGTATCACTTTGGAGCACTTCTGGACGCAATTTCAGCTCAATCGATCAAGTAGTTTCCGAGATACAGAAATTTCTGAAAATTCGTTTTTCCTCAATATCTCGAAAACTACGTGACTGAGATGATTTTTTTTTACGTCAAAATATTCCTTGTGATAATATCTATCAAATCAAATCACAATATTGCTGTGTAACTAGGGTCAGATTGGTAATAATCGGCATTTTTCCTTTTTATGAGAAAATCGTTTTATGCACGATAATTCCCGAAAAAATTTAGATAGGATATTGAAATTTGGTCAGATTGTAGCTCTTATGATATTACAGAATGGGATGGTGGGTAGGCGAAATTGGACAAGTGGTTTAGAAGATATTCAACTTTTTGTGAAAAACTGTTTTGCTGAATATGTTTCAAACTACTGGTCCGATTGATTTTATTTTTCTTTCCAAATACTCGTCTTGTCGCCCTCTATCAAGATCAATCAAGATGTGAATCCGTTCACAAAAAGTTTTCGAGATATTCGTGTTTTTCTAATTTTTTCAATTGAGAGTTAATCGGCCGTTTGATAATACGCGTAAAACTTGGAATAAACACCTGAGATTCTGGCTACTCATTAGTATTACTGAGTCACACTTGTGTATACAATTTTGTGTCGATCGATTCAATACATCCTGTTATGGAGAAATTCATCCAAAAATCGTTTTTTCTAAAAAATCATGTATCGTCATTTTATCGATTATTTTCGCCTCTGTGGGCTTATTCTTGAATTGTTTTCCCATGGAAAGTCCAAGTTTTCCTCTTTGTTTTGAGCTTAGGCGGAGCTCGATTGATAAACTTGTTTCTGAGATATGAATTTTGGAAAAAAGTCAAGTGTCCGTTTTACCCCACCTTAGGGATTTGCACATCTTGTAAATTTTTTGTTAAGAGACAGTTTGACTAAAATTTTACGGATTTTTGTAACTGAAATTCCACAATTTGATGGGAAAATCCATAGAAACTAAATGTGAAAATTTAAGAAAAGAATAAACAATTAAATTAACTGTGATTGTGAAAATTAACAAAGTGAGGGAGAAATTAATGGAAACACCTCCAGTTCAATTACTCCATGCATTAGAATGTTTCATAGTGCAGTAGTGGAGTTCTTTTGACAAAATGTTTTTAGACGAAGTTCTTTTAAAAGAAGTTTTTTAGCCATGAACCCGCGAAAATTTTCTCAGAAACTCATAAAAGGTCTCTTGACAATTCCTCCCGAGATGGTGCATAAAACACGTAATTGGCCCGTTAAAGACTGATTCATGAGTTAATGACTTGAATGCAATGTAATATCTTCCCTTGAATTAGGTAAGTATCTTATTAACGAGGCATTTTACGGGGGAATAAATGTCAAAAGATCTTTTTATAGCTCACGAAATTGCTTACAAAAAAGGTATTCTGGTAATTTGGTCTAAGAAACTTTCATTAACGAGATAATTCCATACTCATGTCAGTCCCTTTTATTTTTTGCACTTTTTAATTAGGTTTTGATAATGGTGATTTTTCTTTTCCAGTGTTTGGAGACATGGCAATGACTTACATCCTCGAAATGACTGATCTCAATGCCTACGAAGATACAAAAGTAAAGGAGGAGGACGACAAGGATGAAGAGGCTGAGGGCCCAGTAGTCGATAGAAAATGCCCTCAATGTGGTAACGATAAAATGAGTTATGCCACTCTTCAACTGAGATCAGCTGATGAAGGGCAGACGGTATTCTATACCTGTACCAAGTGCAAGTAAGTGTAAAAAACAATTGATCATTCAATTTACTTCTCAATTAAAAAAATGGAAAATTTATCAGTGAAATTCCAAATTTTAAAGAATTGTAATTGTCTATTCATCGAAGAAACGAATTACTTTAGAAGAAAATCTTTCAACACTTTTTGCAACTGAAAAAATTCCCAGTAGGAAGAGTCTTTTGTCATCGTCGTCCGAAATTATTCCTTAAAAATATATTCACATTATTTATAATTTCATATTTTAAAGAATGGGAAAAATGAATATTTTACGTTTTACTAATTTGTTACTCATTTATCTTCATTTCTATTTCAGATTCAAGGAAACAGAAAATTCCTGAGCTAGTTCAGTCACCGAAAATTTCCCCCCTACAATGTTTTATAAATTGTTAAAGTTGATAATGAATAAAAACACTTTTTTAATAAGAAAAACTGCATTTTCTTTCCGCTCAACAAATAATGAGTAATGGGTGGACACGCGTTGTCGTCATTCTAGAATTGTGCCATGGAGGAAGAAATGTAATTAAAAAACCTATCGAATTCGTTAGAAAATTCTATTGAATTTTTATTGCATTGTTCGATTAGTTTTTGGCCGATTCTATTGAAATGTTCAGTAGAAAAAGTCAATAGAATTCAATTTTTCGATATAACTTATTCTATTAAGATATTTTCTATAGAATTTCCTCGGCTCAAATTTTCTAAGTTTTTTTGTTTGATTTCCTTGATGAGAAGAAAAGAAAAATAGAATGAAAAAAACTTAGAAAATTTGCGTCGAGCAAATTCTACAGAAAATTTATGAAAAGAATAAGTTATATGGAAAAATCGAATTCTGTTGACTTTTCTATTGAACATGTCAATAGAATCAGTCAAAAACTAATAGAAAGTTTAATCGAAATTGAATAGAATTTTCTAACGAATTCGATAGGTTTTTCTATTAAATTTTTTCGTGCATGGCTCGTTTCTTCATTTTGTACTTTTATGTCTTTCGTCATCGTCTTCCAAAAATTATCGATTAAAAATACAATTTCATACTTTAAAAAATCAAAGAACTGGACATTTTGCGTTTTACTACTTTGTTATTTAACATTTTTAATTTTCCTCTCAGATTGAAGGAAACAGAAAATTCCTGAGCTAATTCAATCACCAAAAATTTCATCCCCACAAAGTGTCATAAATACTTGAAGGTAATAATGAATAAAAACGTGGTTTTTAATAAAACATAGAGCTTTATATTTTCTTTACACTCAACAAATAATGAATAATGGGTGTACAAGCTTTGCCGGATTCTATAATTGTTCTCGTCTCTGTCCACCTTCCCCTCTCTTCATCAACAATGTTTTGCCCCTGTCTAAATTGTTTGAGATTTTGAAAAATTCCGTTTTATGTACACGAATGTCAGAGATAAAACATCAACCATTATCCTTCATTATTCAAATTTGACATATTAAATTTATCATAATCCACTCTTACTCAGTTTTTTTTTCATTTGAAAAAGAAAATTGATTTTTGCTGGTGGTCCTTGTGATTAAAAACTCTCTTCATTATTTACGATAAAAACTATGATAGTCCTGGGGTATTTACACTATCGTGTTCATTATTATAAAGAACATTATTAGTACCTTGAACTTGTAAATCTTAACAATCTTAAGGTGATAGATATGCTATCTTAAAGAGTTGAAACATCACTCGTTAAATACAACAAGGAAATGACGTTTTGTCCTCAATTTTAAAAATCTGCGGATTATCAATCATTCAGAATGTTGAATTCCCCCAAATTTCTATTCATTTTCTTGTTCCATTTAACTCTAATCACAAAAGAAAAAAAATAATCAATACGAATTTCTGTAATCTTAATCCTAAAACATATCGAAATAACTCCATAATTAGTGAAATGCACATTAAATCAAGAATAAAAGTATCTCCACTGAACTGAATAAAACGAGTGCATGAGCGTGCTTATTCCAAAGTCGTCTGTAAGTACATAAATCCATTTTTCTCGAATAACCCACGACAATTTGACAAGATAAAATGAGGTCACAGGACCCATCAACATCATTAAGCTCTTTTGTATTGATAACAAATTTGATTCGTATTCTCTGTAATAATTTTAGTTCATTAAAAAAGTTGTTCTCCATATCATTCCGTAAAACTCCATAAATCACTCTTGAAAAAACGTTCTATTTTTAATTAAAAATCTTGACAATAATCATCGTATTCCCTACACTCTGGATTGATATTTACATGAACACTCATATTACAATATTGTACATAAACTTTTGTACAGGATCGTCGTTATTCTCATTTATTTACAGACAAGTCGAAGGTTGAATGTACTTTTTCTGTTGAATTTTTATCGTTGAAAAATTTCTCGCGATCATAATTTTATCAGGCAGTCGTCGAGAAAATTCTCCATTGAGTGGTAGAGGTGCGACCGTGATTGAGCGATGCCATGGTCCTCGTCGGTGTACGTCTGGAAGAGAGCAAAAATCTCAAGTAATTGTTTTTAACAATTCAGGATGTTATCATGATAAATTTCCACTCTGGTACCTGCTGTCTGAAGAGTATATCCTTCTGCTCGAGGACTTTGGCAAGCAGAAGTGACTGCTGATAGTGCACATTGTCGTCGAGAGTTCCGTGAATAAGGTAGTAGCTATTAGATTTAATGTTCTCTACTTTGTTCAAAAGTTGGCCCTGCTCGTAACCGTTTAGATTGTCGGAGACTGTTGGTAGGCCCATAAAGCGCTCTGTGTAAATGGAATCTGGGGGGAAAAACATTGGGGTATCACTTAGCAATTGTTGTTTATTTATTCTGTTTTGGCGGCTTGTTATCTTGGGTAATGGGTGGAACTCGATGGAGGTTTTTTGGGGGAGAATGGATTGCTTTCAATTGGAGCGAACGGTTGAGGAAATTGATGAGAAGCAATTCGGGAAAGTTCTCAGAAGGTGAGTAATGTCTCCCCCCCCCGTAATTCGTTGCTGAATATAAAATAAATATAAAGATTGAAATAATTTGACTTTTAATTGAATTGTTATGAATAAAATTGGGAATTCTAGTTGCTCAGGAATGTTTGAAAAATAATTTTTCTCATGTTAAAATTCCAGATTCTCACGTTCTTTCTATTGAGAAATTATTGAAATCACAAATCGTAATTGTTTATTTATTTTTTTGGAGGGTTGTTATCTTGGGTAATGAGTGGAACTCGATAGAACAAAGTTTTTTGGGGAGAATGGATTGCTTTAAATTGGAACGAACGGTTGAGAAAATTGATGAGGAGCAATTCGGGAAAGTTCTCAGAAGGTGAGTAATGTGGCGCTTTTTTTGACTGAAGTTCTTTTAAATATTTATCGTTAAGCCTCCGCGCCCCCGTCAATTCGTTGCTGAATATAAAAATAAATATAAAGGTTGAAACAATTTGACTTTCAATTGAATTGTTAGGAATTATTTTAAAAGTCTGAATAAAATTGGGAATTCTAGTTGCTCAGGAATGTTTGAAAAATAATTTTTCTCATGTTAAAATTCCAGATTCTCACGTTCTTTCTATTGAGAAATTATTGAAATCACAAATCGTAATTGTTTATTTATTTTTTTGGAGGGTTGTTATCTTGGGTAATGAGTGGAACTCGATAGAACAAAGTTTTTTGGGGAGAATGGATTGCTTTAAATTGGAGCGAACCGTTGAGAAAATTGATGAGGAGCAATTCAGGAAAGTTCTCAGAAGGTGAGTAATGTGGCGCTTTTTTTGACTGAAGTTCTTTTAAATATTTATCGTTAAGCCTCCGCGCCCCCGTCAATTCGTTGCTGAATATAAAAATAAATATAAAGGTTGAAACAATTTGACTTTCAATTGAATTGTTAGGAATTATTTTAAAAGTCTGAATAAAATGGGAAATTCTAGTTGCTCAGGAATGTTTGAAAAATAATTTCTCTCATGTAAAAATTCCAAATTCTCACGTTTTTTCTATTGAGCAATTATTGAAATCACATTCGTCTTCGGCGAGCGCTACCTTCCCAACAGTCAAAGAACACTTTTCCTCCGAGTGTCGCACCCGATTTTTTATCACAATGTGTGGAAAGTGGGATTTTGCGCATAATTTGAAACCTCGCTTTAAGCACAAGTGATGAAAAAAAATTTCCACTGAAATTTCAGGTAAAAGTCTTGCAAATTTCGAACAAGTAACATTTCCACTGAAAATTCACGGAATTTCGTAATTGAAAATTTATAATTTCATGGAAAAGTTTCTGGAAACTGTAAAATTAATGAAAAATCAGGAAAATCAGAGAAATCTCACCCTGAATTCCAGATTCTTCTGAATTATCAGAGAATTCCTTCAAAAATGCCTGGAATTCCTAGTATTTTAGGGAAATCCTCTGAGAGTTCACGGGAATTCGATGGTAAATATTAATATTCACTTGAAAATTCATGTAAATTGTGGAATTTCTGTCTGCCTGCCACTAAAAAATTGGGACTTCACTTCAATTTTCAGAGAAATTTGAAATTCCATTGACTTGTTCCCTGAAATCGAATTCAAGGTCTTTTCTCGGAGAATTCAACCAAATTTATTTAACCCTGTGTTTGAAATTCCCATGGCAATAGAGTGCTGATGAAGATGTGAACAAAATAACTTCCAAAACATCTCCAAAGTCCCGATCCCATTACTCCCCCCAATTTCAAACCCCAATAACTGCGAGATATCCGCAAAGTCAACACCGACAGTTTGGAATTTCATTCGCTGCCAGTGATCCCGACCTTTTACAACAATTTATCCAACAATTTATTTCCCCTCATTGGCAAAACTGAACGGCCGTTAATTACCTCTCAATATCCGTGTTCATCGAAAAAGCAATTTCCAACTAAACGTGACAGTATAATCGTATTGTGGACTGATGGAAATGAATCAGCGGAGTAAATGCGATTTAAACTGGAATATCGAATGTCAACTCTGTCCATAATTAGAAAAAAAAGTGTTTGACTAATGCCCAGCT